GTTCCCGGTGAGGGTCGGACTCCGCCAGGGCTGCCCTTTGTCACCGGTTCTGTTCATTACCTTTATGGACAGAATTTCTAGGCGCAGCCGTTGTGTGGAGTGTGTCAAGTTTGGTGGCAGGAGAATCTCGTCTCTGCTTTTTGCAGATGATGTGGTCTTCCTAGGTTCATCCAGCTCTGACCTTCAGCTCTTGCTGGGTAGGTTTGCGGCCGAGTGTGAAGCGGCTGGGATGTGGAAAAGCACCTCCAAATCCAAGACCATGGTTCTCGACCAGAAAAGGGTGGCTTGCCAACTCCGGGTCGGGAGAGAGGTCCTACCTCAAGTGGAGGAGTTTAAGTATCTTGGGGTCTTATTCACGAGTGTGGGTAGGAGGGATCGGGAGATAGACAGGCGGAGTGGTTCGGCGTCTGCAGTGATGCGGACGCTGAGCCGATCTGTCGTGGTGAAGAGGGAGCTGAGCCAGAAAGCCATGCTCTCGATTTACTGGTTGATCTATGTCCCAATCCTCACCTATGGTCATGAGGTTTGGGTAATGACAGAAAGAACAAGATCGCGGATACAAACGGCCAAAAATGAGTTTCCTCCGTAGGGTGGCCGGGCTCAGCCTTAGAGATAGGGTGAGGAGCTCGGACATTCGGGAGGGACTCGGAGTAGAACTGCTGCTCCTCCGGATCGAAAGGAGTCAGTTGAGGTGGTTTGGGCATCTGGTCAGGATGCCTCCTGGACGCCTCCCTGGGGAGGTGTTTCAGACATGTCCTGCCGGCAGGAGGCCCCCGGGACACGTTGGAGAGGTTACATCTCCAATCTGGTCCGGGAACACCTTGGGGTCCTGCCGGAGGAGCTGGTAGAGGTGGCCGGGGAGAGGACGGTCTGGAGCTCCCTAGTTGGGATGCTGCCCCCGCGACCCAGACCCGGATAAGCGGAGGAAGACGACGACGACGACGTACCTAAAACAAAGAGACTTGCAGCAAACAAGGACCTTTTTCACACCTTTAAATCATCAATATTTCTTTATTTCCTTTGACAAATATTTGGAGCTTCGTTGTAGATATGTGTTAAAGAAGAGCAGAAGATGATCACATGTTATGTTGTCATTTTTGAAAATGAAAGCGGTTTAATTCAAGATCATTGAAATGGTGAGGGGAAGATTATTTAACATTTTCTCACCTCAAACATCTAACTTCCTATGTGGTTTCATTTACAATGCAATATCTTTGTCTTGTGACCATTAAATGTTTATTTTGGATGTACAGTAAGAATAAGAAATAACTTATGTACATTATGTAAGACATGTTCTTTTCTTAAAATAACCCAGTACACTGCAGCACACTTGTGCTTGCAGAGACTTTCACAATTTGACTTATGCATTTTTAATTCCTGAATATTTCTTGTGTTTGGGAATTAAGCTTTTGAAATAAAGAATATTTGCATTTTTCTTTCAAGATTTGGATTTTCCACAGTTTTCCCAGGAGACACACCCACTGTTGTTTACTAATTTATCACATAAAATGTTGGTAAAAATCCATTGTTTCTACCATCTCTTGTTGATTTCTTTTGGCTGTTTTTCATCTTTCTCCCACACACACACACACACACACGCAAGCACGCACGCACGCACGCACGCACGCACGCACGCACGCACACACACACACACACACACACACACACACACACACACACACACACACACACACACACACACACAGGATGTCCAGGGAGGTTCCCCACAATTTTTTCTATAATGAGGTAGTGAAGTCACCAAGAAAATTGGTAAATATTTCCTTTATAAAATCCCAATAACACACCCAAGGAGGGTATAACAGAGGTATAACTTTGTATGTCAGTATAAGGTTTGTAATTAACCACTTCTAATGTATGTGTAGCAAATGCATTGTCTTGGACATAGGAAATGGGGTTCTCAAGGAATAAGGTTGGGAACCACTCCATTAGTGTCATTTGGCAACGCAATGGTTGTCTCAAGTGTGCAAGTACTTTTTTAGATTTTTCCTCCAAGCAGCACTTGGTCTAGGTTTTCTGATGGGCACTTGAGGTTCCCGGTGGAGCTTTTGATAGAGTCACCAGAAATTCCACTCAGCTGTGGGGTCTTAGCAATGGGGTAGGTTGGTTGTTCTCCACTGTCTTTTTGCCACAGAGTTCTTTGTTATTGTGTCATAAGAAAACTCTTAATTTCATGTTTAGATGGGAGTGTTTTCATTTCTGATGTTTTTGTGCTGATCTAGAACTAATAACCCATCAAGATTCCTTTAATTGGCTTGGTTAAAGTGTTTCTGGGAAGTCATCATTCCACGATTGATGGCTTTATTGGACATGACAAATCAAAAACAAATGAATGCACATTAAGTCAACTCACTTTTCTATTGTTACCCCTAATCTTAAATTTCAGTTAACCCTTTGGCCAAAGTCACACAGAGCAGTGGTCAAAATATTAATTAATTTTCTATACCTACTCCCAGTAGGTTGATGGGACCTGGTACCTGTGTCTAGCTGGGTGAAGCAGGGAACAACCTGGACAGGGCACAACACCATCACAGTGGTTAAAATATTCTCCTCTGAAATTGGACACACTTTCAAAGGACCTATACATCATCAGTAGTCTAAGATTCCTTCCACCAGAGAGATACATTGTGCTTTTTCTGGTTTTCCAATATTTTCTGTGAGCTACATGATAGTGCTAAACACCAGTTGCTGCTTTCTAGGTCCAATCGTTTTATGTTGTCCGTGACTTCAAAGCAGATAAGAAAATAGCTCTTTTAGCCCCATTGACTTGCATTCATTTTTTCATTCTTCTGGGGACTCATGGGGTGTTTCTCATTGCCAAGGAACATTGTCTTGATGTCTTGGTTCCGCCCCAGTTGCCTAGGAGATATGTCATCACGAACCGCCTAGCGTGTTCTAGACTTCATGCTCTACCAAGGCTTCTGTTCGCTGTTTGTTAGCCGTTTAGCTAGTTGAGCAAGGATACACTGGAGGTGAATTGTAGCCAGGCCTTGGTCAAAAATTTCCCAGAACACAGCACGGTATTTTCAAAAGGATGGCAGATCAGGGTATTTATAGATAGTTTAAGCAGACAGCTACAGTTTAATAAGCTCGACTCTCCCATATTCAGTTCAATTCAACTCTTTATTCAGGACAATGCACATTAATAAACAATCAAATACATTGTATTGATCGTAAATGGGCCAGATTAGCATAGTTGATAATTTGCATCTGTAGTCCGTCAACAAGATAACTAAGTAAAATAAGTAACACTATACAATTCAAAAACAGTCAGATAGAAACATTCCATTAAAATAGACAAACAAAAAAATTAAAATAACTAAAGATGCAAACATGTCTGGGAACCTTTAAGATGTAGTTTGAGGTGCTTTTTAAAGGTGCTATAAGTGGGATACTCTCTGATATTTGCTGGGATGTTGTTCCAAAATTGACTCCCTCTAACGGACAGTACCATTTGTCCGAACATCGTTTTCCTGTAGGGGATCTGAAGGTCTCCTCTAGTGGAGGCTCTAGTGCCATAGCCTTTGTCTGGTCTTAATTTTATGTATGCGGAAAGTGGTGGTGGAGCTAGTCCATTAAGTGCTCTGTGGATTAAACAACTATTTTTGAACTTAATAAAATTTTTTATAATTAAGCATGTTGTACTTTGCCAGAATATTACTATGGTGATATGACAAAGGCTTTTGATCCAAAAATTTTATAGACTTTTTGAATAATATTTCTATTGGTTTTAAAAGAGTGTCCCCAGTGAATGACCAGGTTGTGATGCAGTAGTCTATATGAGAGAAAATCATGGAGTGCAAAAACATTGTAGCTGAAATTGTAGTCAATGAAGATCTAATTTGTTTAAAGTTATTTGTATTGAATTTAATTGTGTTCAGTGTATGTTTTATATGTTTTATAAAGGATAGTGTCGGATCCAGGGTGATTCCAAGGTACTTGAACTCTTGCACCAGGTCAAGCTCTACCTCCCCCAAGAACACATTGGACCGCTTCAGATTTATGGGTTTTTTCTTTTGTGAATATCATTGCAACTGTTTTTTAATTCAGTAACAGGCATGACTGATGGAGCCAAAGCTGTATGTTCTCCAAGGCTAATGTGAGAATAGATGATGCTTCCTGTGTACTTTTAGCAGGTGTAAAAATAACCGCATCATCTGCATACATTTGGAAGTGTACATTTTTACACACATTCGGCAGGTCATTTACATAAAAAGAAAACAACACTTGTACTATGATAGAGCCCTGTGGGACCCCTGCTGGACAGTGAAGGTATGATGACATTGTATCCCCTACACACACAGACTGCCTTCTGTTAGACAAGATTTTAACCAGGCTAATGCATTTTCTGAGAAATTATAACGAGTCAGTTTGGTCAGAAGTGTTTGATGGTCCACCGTATCGAATGACTTCTTTAAAACCAAAAAGACTGCACCAACACAATAAGCTCGACTCTCCCATATTCAGAATTGACAAAGCTCCTCGGATGAGAAGCAAAATGTCTTCAAGAAACCAAAAAAGTCCAGTTGCCTCCATTTGAAGCCCAACTCTGTGGATTACCAGGGCCTGTCTCTCTGACCTTCACCAGCACGGTAAAAAAAAGTTTCTCCATCATCCAGCTATTCTTGTGTATTTTATGAGACACATGGTAACTGATTTTTCTTTGGTTTGTGAAAAATTATGCAAATTATATATTACCCATCTGGTTTAACACGTTCATAATATCACTGTTAACTCTAATATAATAAGTCTTGTATTTTTAAATAAATCTGCTGCAGCTTCGTGTTAAACCATCCTTAGACTGAGTCTGTCCCATAGGTCTGTCCTTAGCTTGAGATTTAAATGAGAAGGTCGTTTCCCGGGCAAAACCGTGAATCTGAATAGATTTCAGCGATGTAATGCTTGAGCAGGGCAGCTGAGGAGATTACGTTGCCGGGGCTTCTCTGGTTCTGCCCTGGAACAAGCATAACGATGAGTTCGTCAGAATGAGAGCGGAGCGCGGTGGTAGAGGTTGTTTATGTGGAGTGCTGGGTTAAGGTTCCGCCCACCGAGGTATCTGATCGTAGGGCAGACAGGCAGAGTGTAAAATGGCGCACAGCTGTCGGTGGCGGTTCCCCGCTCGGCCCGGAGGGAGCAGCAACTCCGGTACCGGGAGGAGAGCGGGCCGAATCAGGGTTACTGCCTTTTTGCAGAGTGTATCGGGAGCCCAATCGAACGCAGCTGGACTCGGACCCGGGTTTGATGCTGCACTACAAGTCTCATCGGTTATCGGGAGCAACCTGCAGAAATTTCGGGATGTTTTGGGGGAATTGAGCGACTCGAGCAGCGCAGAGGTAAGCCTAAGACGAGCTGGGACCAACGGTTAGTCCGCTACGGGGCAGCCGGTCCACCCGGAGGAGCGTTTTGTTACCCCTGAGGAAAGGAGCTAACGGTTACTGTCCTCCAAGCATCTCCTTACTGTGCGCAAACTTGTCATTGCAGGGATGCTCAGATAACTTTGACTTGGTGTTGTGGCCTTAAACTCTCCAGTAACACGGTAGAGTGTAAACTTCAATCAGAAAAAAAAACTAAATATTAAAATGTCACCCTATAGTACCATAGTTCTGCCACAAGGAAAGTTTTCTAATCCTGAGTAAAGAGATGCTACATCCACAGTTTGGTTGAAGTGAGGCTAACGTTAGTCTGCTAGCTAGAACACAGTAAATACATAACTTGATAAATTACATTTAGTCCAGTAAACACATTGAACTAATCTAAACACTGTTACTGACTAATACACGTTGTAATTGCGCTTTCACTAATGCTTTACTAGCAACTCGGCTTGAGGGTTTTAAGCATTGTTTCCTTCAAATTAATTCTCATTGACACTAAGTTATTGTTCCAAATATGCATTAATGTTAATGTCTTTGAGATATAAATATTGAAATTAATCGTGCCTTTATTTTAGTGCAACAATACGGGACCTAGCTTCAAGTTAGTGTGCAGTGTGTTTGAAAACAACTCGAAAGCAGGCGAGAGAACATTGTGGTTTTAAATGAGCTAACATCAACTTAGCGTCTGTCTGCAGCTTCCCCTGGAAAGGGCTGTTCAGTACTCCCTTACCCAGACTCAATATTCTGTCATATAATCTCTGCCAGCTAAATAACCCAGTGCTAACAACGTGAACTCACTCAGAGCTCACTCTTTGCAGCGAGGTGTCAACCTTCCAGCGACGCTTGTTAGCCAGCAGGGCTGGTTAGCTCACAGGCTAGCTGTTTGTCTGTCAGAGCTAAAACTACATCACTCTCGTAAGCCACTGGAAAGCTGGCTATTTCCTCTAAAGGTCGTTTTCCTCCGTTTACTTCATTGATACACAATGGATTAAATTTACCAGGAGGAAAAGTTAGATAAGCTTGTACTCATAACTAAATAACTCCCATCGTTAAGCTAAGACAGCTACCATGCTACGTACTACGCCACGCTAGCTATCAGGGCTGCTGCTGATGCATAGGGAAAATGGGAGGTGGACATGTTTTTCCTCTACAGTCGATACGTAGCTACTACTAATACAATATCTGGTCTATAACGCCAGGTAATGACGGTTTTCCCAGCCACACTACTAAAAACCACCCTGTTCATTTTAGAAGTGACGTTTAGATAATTTCGATGTGATTTGGTGGGTAATTTCACTACGTTTCAGAGAAATAAAGGCTAGTAGTGGCAGTGCGCATGCAGGGCTGGGTACAATAACAACGAGCCCCTTCTTGACGGACCGCGATGTGGGGGTGTGTTCGCCTTAGCGAATCTTCCTTCTTCATGATGAGCAGCATGCGTTCATTGCAGTGGGAGTGCGTTGCGTGGGGATGTTTACCACCAGGGTTTAACTCCTCTAATCTGAGCTCAGACGGTGCACCAGTTTTACTAAAGAGCAGCAGTATTTACGTAAATGAAGTTAGAAGTTTTTGATGTAATTGTTTGTATTCCAAATTAATTCTAAAACATGTCTTGGGTTTATAATTATCAAATTAGAATGTAGCAGCCAAAATGTGTAATATATTGCAAATAATTTAGTGATTTAATGTTATTTTTACAAGTGAAACTACATAGTATTTTAATATCTTTATTACAAATAACATTTCAGGAACAAACCACACCTTTAAATATGTTTAGGTATGAAAGTTTAAAAAAAGCATATTTGATATGTTGTTCGTTAATTATTCATGGAGTATTATTTACTGTTAAGGCTCAGTTTAATTTAACCCCATCAGCAAATATTCAGCATGATCAGCTTAATCTGATTAGCCAATCTGAAACTTATAAATCTGAAATGTTTTTCCTTTTTCTTTTTGGGGATTATGATTGCACCTTTCCCAGTGATCAATAACAAAAAATCTGTTTTTTGAACTGGTTGGTCTGTGTGAATACAACAGTGCTAAGTGCTAATTCGGGCTAGCAATAACAGATCATTCATGTTAAAGTTCTTCAGAATCACAATTTTCAAAAAAATCAGGGAAAAGCAAGTATTCTCCTACTTATTAGAATAAAACATTAATTGGATCAGGCCACAAAATTAGAATTGGTGCATTTGTAATTATTTAAATATTTATTTTTATGAAGGAGTATTTGCTAGCACAGAACACACTAATTGTAATACTTTTTTGTAAGCATTTTGATCCCTGACACTTAATTGAACACACACAGTTTCTTCTTCAGTTGTGCTTAATCTTTCAGCTCTTTCATACTACCAAGAAACAGGGATGTGAAAAACAGGGAATTATATGGGAAACATCATCCTTATGCTCCTTCTTCTGCTAATGTATAGTATTATCTGATGTGTGTGGACACAGACTAGACCATAAAACCCCCATGGGACCTGAAGCGTGTGAAAGTTGCGGACGCAGCATGGTGATTTCATCAAAAAGCAGCGTGAAGTGCTTGTCTGGCCAGATCGAGGCACAGTTGTTCAGGTTGACTGCAACACACTGAGCTCGCGCTGCAACCCTCGAACAGAGTGCCAGCCGGACACTCGACCACCCCTCCCTCCTCCATCCAGGCAGAACCCCCCCCTTACACACACACACACACACACACAAAACACCCTGTCTGAGAGGCAGAGCAACTTTTCTTCTGACAGCTGCCACTTTGGAATGGATTACTAAGCCTGTTGGAGTGTCTCAAAGGGGCGCTCGTTGGCTGTTGTTGTCCATTTATTAGCTTTTGTGTGTGTGAAGAGAATTTGTTTTCTTGATCTGAACCACGTGTTAAACCTCGGTTTGGAGCAGATCATGTTGATTCTTTCTTAAATGCCTGTCCGACCCCAGTGTCACTGTCTCAAATCAGACTTTGCATCTTTTTCTTTTTGTCCTTGAGACATCACATCTTGCCTTCTGCTGCATCCTTTACTCATATGTTATTATTGAGGTTTAATCATTCATACAAAAAAAAAAAAACAATTCAACTGAATAGATGTATCAATCTAAATGTGTCTTTGCCTGACTGGTTTGAGAGAACTGGTGTGCTTGAGTGGAAGGGGCTTCAGTCCAGCAGGTGTTTGGCCTATTTAAATGGAAGACCCCCACACCCGCTTACCCATTCCCAAGACAGCGTGTGGATTGGAGCAGGAAGCTTTGTGTCTGCTTTTATTCTAGTTCTCACAAAGTGCGGGTGGGTGAAAGAGTCCAGGCAGGGGTATCAAAGAGTGCTGGGCAAGCCCCCTCCTCCCAACGGGACAGCACTGGATGGAGAATTAGTCCCAGACACTCCCATCCATGGCTTTATTCTGCTGCAGCAGGCGGGCAAGGAGCTTTCACCTCCACTTTAGGAATTGCCTGACTGGGAGAAAGGCGGCAATTGTGTCATTCAGGGTTACTAATTTCCTGTCTTTGTGACATGAAGATATCCGTTTCTATTTAACCTAAATTGAGTTTCACAAAATTCCATTTCTGATTGGAAGATGAAAGAATAAATAGTAAAAAAGTTCAAACGTCTGATTAAATATTAAAAATCAGATAGAGATCCTTTAACCAGCTGATCAGTAATCAGGTCGCTGACCTTAACTCCTGATCTTTGCTGTTTTCAGTGTACAGTAATTAGCACATGGCTAATTATCATATCTGCACAGAAGCTATTTCCATACATTTCCCTGTAATAAAATGCAAGTCTGCACAGTAGCAAGTTTGATTTGCATTTCTGGCTGGGACCTTTCTGCGTGGAGTTTGCATGTTCTCCTAGTGTATGCATGTGTGTTTATTTGGCTACTTAATTGACCCTAGGTGTGAGTGTGAATGGATGATTTTATGTGTGGCTCTGTGACAGACTGTCCAGATGTTCTCAAGCAAGCCTGCAACACTCACCCTAGTGTGTAATCTATGTCATAGGGGACAAAATACTAAATTAAAAGGCATTGTGGAGCAATAACCAGTTTACTTGATTAATAAAATATTCGGGTTAACCTTCCAGTAATATTCTGATGTTTTGGTTGTATTACTACCTACAATATATGTTCATATTCCGCACTGATCTGCAGCCAGCTGTTCTTAGTCAGTTTGACTGAACCTAAATACGGCCCTTAAAGACAGAAAAAGTCCCACCAGCTTTCTTAAAGGTGTAAAAGCGCCCTCAGAACAACACCAAAATCGACCTCAAACACAATTCCCACCCGTCTAAGTGTCAGGGACTGTCCCCATCATGTCCTGAAAATACCAGTTTCTTCCACTATGAATCAGTTGGGCTTTTTCTCTGTCTTTTAATGATTTCTGTCATGTAATATAAGTAGTGATCAGGCAAATGAGATGTGTCAGATCAGTAGGGAGTAAAAGTGCTCAGACTTTCAAGGTGAGGATGACGGCAGAAGCAGAGATGCAGATGAGAGCTGATAAGCTTAAGAGAAGAACAGAAATGAAAGATGGAAAGTTGTCTTTCTGTTGCTGTGTTACTGTATCTGCTGCTAGGCAAGGCAGCACATAATCCAACCTGACTAGTCTACTCCCGTGTTTGTTTACTTCTTAACGCTACCTTCCCATGCCCGTCCTGGTATTGAGCTCGTGGTTAACCTTGTGTTTCACACGCTGCTGCTTGGGAGTCAGTGGGCGCGAGGCAAGGAAGTAACGAGTGAGTGGCTGAATTTATGTGTTTCGGAGCACGGCGGAGAACAGAAATAAGAAGGAGGGGGGCTTATTTTATGTGGGAGGCCTGTTTAGTTTGGGATTTGGCAAGCTGCTGCATGAGCATGTTAAAAATCTTAACGCCTTTCATCCAGCGCTCCCAGGAGACAACTGGGCTCCCTCTGTTGTCAACGGTGCATGTGGTCAAGATGCTGTTTCCTTGTCTCTTTTTTTTCCCCTCTTTCTCCCCCCCTCCCATTCTCACTGGTGCGCCTGCTTGTGCTCCCCTCCCCCGCATCATCACTCCTCTGCACTCTGCTTGTTTACATCTTGATGTGCATTTCATGCACAGGAAGTTTTTTATGTGTCCCCCCCCCCTTATTTTAAGAGTGATGTTTTTTTTAAAGAGAACAGAATTGACATACATGTGCAGCACACGTGTGCCGCCACATCCATCCATGCAGTTGACTGTAAGCTCTCGCTTTGAGCCTAGCGTGTTGTGATGTCATTGACTGCTACTCACCATCACAGCGAGTCAGTGCTGTCCGTTGGTACTCCGCCCCCCTCCAGCTCTGCAACACTACCAACGGGGAGCAGCAGCTTGCTCAGTGAGGAGAGGATGCTGGCATCACAGTGAACGGGGAATAGAGGAGACAGAAGTGTAAATAGACGAAGATGCTAGAATGCTTATGAAGAGCATCAGATGCTCAGATTAATGCAGCTTGCCAGGATAAACAGCAGTATTTTCCATCTGTTATGGCAGTTTATTTATATGTTGAACAGATGAAAGGATGATTTTGTGGCTCACTTTATATCTTCCTATATTTTCTTTTAAATCACATTCCATGTTAGTGTCAGGTTTTCTCGTGTGTGTAACTTGTAGCTGGTGCTGGTGAGCTAGCATGTGCGTACACCTGGAAGGCAGCTGCTCTCTAAACTGGGCCAACAAGACCTCAACTGCTTCCCCACTCGCCTCTATAAATAAACATGACGAAATGACAGACTCACCTCCAATGTTAAACGTATTCACTGTTGGAAGAAACGGTGCTCGAGAGGCAGAGTTTATATTAAGTTAACTGTAATATATTATTTATTTGCTCTAAAGGAACACAAAAATGTTAAAATTAGCCATTTTTAAAATGAAATAAAGGTAATTACACCATTAAAGGAGCGGATCACTCATTCAATCAATACATTTGCAGTGGTGTCTAGTAGGAATGAATGCCTTGTTTGGGGAAAAATATACCGGTGCACCGTTTCTTGGACCTAAAAGTTACCCACATCACAGCCGAGATTCAGATGGCAGGTTTTGGAGTCTTGTTTCCTGATATTTGGACATCTCGCCTCTGATCGGATAACAGCAACGTGACTCTTATCACTGACTTGCAGCGTGGATGTTTTATCTCCACAAATAACACAAGCCTGGAGGAGCTTCTGCCAAGTGGTGTAGTTGCTAATGCTAATAGTTAGCTTAAACTAGCTGAGTTGTCCACTGCTGATTCCCAAATGTTAAAACAAAAACAGTCTTCCCCGTCGTGAGTCAAGATGGGTGAGTCTATTAACGTTAAGTGACAGTGTGATGTAGAGTGGTCAGGCTTTTCAAATCCTAGCGTTTCACTGTCTATTTTCTATCAGAAGCTAATACAGGAGAACGGTGTAGGAGACTATTTTCATTTTCAGCCTGCATGAAAAACTCAGAGTGACCGACTATATTCAGTCATTTTCAGTGAACCACTCCTTTAAAATATCGTAGGGGATTTCTGTTGATTTATGTGTCAGTTTAGGACAGTGACTTCTTTTAAAAAAACAAACATATGATCAATTTTTTTAATTAGGATCAAAGCATCTTTTTTTGACTCAGTATTTGTTTTGTAGGAAGAAGCATTTGGAGGATTTGGAGAGACTGCTGAACAAACAGAAATACAAAACCCTTCAGCACCTTCTCCAGGTACAGTACAAAATGATATTTCGAGATCTTTACGTTCAGTTTTAGCGTACTAAAAAATGTTTTCTTCTCTGATTTGCCAAGTAGAGCCACCCGTACATGAGAAGAAGCCCAGAGGCCGTCCACCACGTATTTTGAACACCCAGAAAGCTGCTTCAAGTCTACCTCCCCTCTCATCCTTTCCTTCCCCGACACGGGCAAAGTCTGATGACCCCGAAAGGCCAGCAGAGAAAGTAAAACGGTTACCTGGGAGGCCACCTGGCACCGGGGAGAGGAAAAGAGGCCGACCGCCTTCTTTAAACAACAAGAAAGCTTGGTGCACTGGTAGCCATGCAGCAGGGGAGGACGGTAGGCAGGCTGGGTTTGAGCTTGGTGCGGAAACAGAGGAGGACAAGTACAGGAAGGGCAGCAAGAGGTTATCGTTGGGTTATGCACAGCCTCATGACACAAATGCAAAGTTTCCCAAAGGCGGACGGAGTAAATCCAAAGTTACCAACCTGAAGAGGCTGACAGAGACTAAAATCACCCCACTCAAGTCCCACCTCAAGACGTTGCCTAGTGTACCTCGACGCAGATGTGGGAGACCACCTTCAGCTGAGCGGCTCAAAGCTGAAGCAGCAGCTGCTGCACAGCTGTCTACCTCCATCGAAGATGGGGAAGGGAAACATAAGGCTTTTAGAGTCAGAGGTGGAGACAAAGGCACAGAACCACACATAACTCAGCAGTCCAGTCTAAGAGATGCAGATGGCGCTGAGGACCAAGTCTCTTCCAATCCACCTGCCTCCCCATCTCCCTCTAAATCGGGTTGGCCGGCGGGCCTCAGAAAAAGCCCTCGGCATAGAAAGCCAGTTAGAATTGTCCCTCCTTCTAAACGAACTGATGCGACCATCGCTAAACAGCTGCTGCAGCGTGCCAAGAAGGGAGCGCAGAAGCGGTTGGAGAAAGAGGCCATTGGGGTTAGCGGCTCGGGAGCGACTGAGGTGGGCATCAGAAAGACCCAGCTTAAGAACATTAGGCAGTTCATCATGCCTGTGGTCAGCACTGTTTCCCTTCGCATCATCAAAACTCCAAAGCGCTTTATCCAGGATGAGGGCACTTTTGGAACTCCTCCACCCCATGCAAAGATAGCACGTTTAGACACACACCCCTCATCTGCCCCAGTGCCCGCCCCACCCACATCTGCCACCTCCTCATCTCCTTCTCCTGTACTTGTATCTGTTACTCCTGCTGTTGCAAGCAGCGGGGCAACTGCTCCTGCTGAACCTCCTCCTCCTCCTCCTCCTCCTCCTCCACCAACCCCTGCTCCTACCCCTACTGTCCCAGCAACAACTCCCAGTCTGCTCAACAGCAACACCAGTAACGCAGCCAATGGAAGATTTAGCCATAGTGCACCATCTTGCGGCTCCAGCGCTGTGTCACAGCATTCCTCTCAACTGTCCTCTGCAGAGTCTTCCAGGTCTAGCAGTCCGACCTTGGATGACTCATCCTGTGACTCCCAGGGTTCTGAGGCCACGCAGGCTTTGTCAGAGCCCGAGGATCATTCCCCATCCTCCCAGGGAGAAAGAGAGGCTAACCTGTTGCACAGCTCAAGGCCTGCCTCTCCTCCTTCTGAACCAGAGCCAGAGAGAAGTCAAAGGGGTCGGAGAGCACAAGGGGTAGGACGGGGCAGTCAGAAACAGAGAGCGAGAGAGACGCTCCCCAGTGGGGTTAAAAAACCAATAATCAGCCCACCCACAGGAGTGCTAATGACCTCCGGTACTCTTGTAAATTCCCAACAAGCCTCGTCCACAGCTTCATCCCCTTCTTCTCCCCCACCTCCTCCACTCCTCACTGCTCCACAGGCCCCCCTGTCAGGGTCCTGTAGTACAGCTGCAATCAGTGAACACCACGGCCAGCCAACCTGGATGCCTCACACAATCCCAACGTTCATGCCTGGGTCATCCGTGCTTACCAGCTTGTCAGACAAACGGAGTCGATCCATTCTGAGAGAGCCCACCTTTCGTTGGACATCGCTGTCCCACCCAAGACAGCCGTACTTTTCCTCTGCCAAATATGCAAAAGAGGGTCTCATCCGAAAGCCTATATTTGACAATTTCCGTCCTCCACCTTTAACGCCTGAAGATGTAGGGTTGTTGCCCCAGGGTGTTGCCGGAGCAGGAGGAGCTGCATTTCCAACACCGGGCACCGGAGCTGGATCAGGGAGTCGCTTGTTTGCCCCTCTTCACCCTCACACACACCACCAGCATCCCTCGTCATCCCGCTTTGACTCAACACTCCCAAAACGCAGCCCTCTGCTCCGAGCTCCACGTTTTACACCCAGCGAGGCTCACTCTCGAATATTTGAGTCCGTTACTTTACAGTCGTCCTCTGGAAGCAGCCCAGGTTCTCTTTCCCCTCACCAGACCTCCCCGAGTTCCAACAGGTGCCATCGGCGCAGTCGGCGACTGTTCCCGGGAGCACAGCGTGTCCATTTACGGTCCGCGTCACATTCTATGACCAGACGCAGCAGCCAAACGAGAGAGCAGATGCCTGCTGGGAAAGGTGCCTCTGAGATGTCTGTGCTGACAGGATCTGTTTCCGGTACTAACCCCAGCTCGCTGCCGGGGGTGTCTGCAAGTCCGTTAGCCACTAGTGCCTTAAAGCCTGCTCTTTTCAGCAACTTCTCCACTGTCTCTCGGGGTCTGGACTCACAAGCAACATCTGATAGCAGAAGCGGAGCAACTGGAAACCCATCTCCCATGTCAAATACGTCATCCGCTTCTTCCCCATTTTTCCCGCTTTTTCCTTCTGGTGCTCAGGACACAGGTCGAGGAGGTGGTAAAGGAGCTAAAGACAAAACATCTCAAGAGCCTCCTTCGAAGGAGAAAGAGAGGGAGTCCGAGAAAAATCGTGAGAAGGAGAAGGAAAACAAGCGGGAGGGGAGGAAGGAGCTGGAGAAAAGAAGTAAGGTGTCCTCACCTGACAGCTCTCCAAATCCACCTCCTGGTTTTTTTCCTGGGGACGGGAGGGACTCGGAAAGCGCTCTTGCACCGAAAAAGACTCCAGGAAGGAAAAAAATTGACACCGTTTCTGAAGCTGCTTCTTCAGAAGTGAGAGGTCCTCATTCTATGTCCATCACGAAAGGACGTCTGCCTAAGAAAGGACGAGTTTCTGAGAAAGGAGCAGAGACAGAAGAGGGGGGAAAGGAGAAAGAGAAACAAAGTTCATCTAATCAGCAGACAGCTAACCTTCCAGGGCAGCCGAGTAAACACCATCTTCCTGTCCCTGTGACGGGAACCCAAACGAAGGAGAACTCGTTGACTGACGGGCAGCTGGCTGGACTACTGAAGAAGGCCAAAGACCAGCTCAATGCAATAAAGAAGAATAACCTAAAACCTGCAGATCAGACCAAGGTCCAGGTCAGTTCTCCTGTTTATGTCTTCTTCAAGTTTCTCAAAAAACACTTTTCTGGTTTTCTACTTTCAGTCATTCAGCCACAATCAAGTGGGTACATGTGTAAATGAAATGATGTGTTCAATATTTCCTATAAGTAGAAACCTGTGATTGTACTCAGACTGAAATTTGATAGGAGGAAAGTCCCACAGAGGGTGTTACTTAAGGGGAATTTTGTCTGTTTTGTGCTTATGTAGAAAACATAAGCACATCTGAGAACGTGTCCCTTCAGCTGAGCCTTACCCTTCATGCCCTTACTGTAGCCGCTCATGCTTTTCAATACTCACTCATGTCATATTACCTGTATGTTGAGGTCCGGCTGCAGTACTCACCTCTTAAAATAGTGGAGCAAGGACACAACTGACAAAAAATACAATAACTGGAGTAATAGTTGCTGTTGTCAACATTTGGATATCATTTATGGACCACAGAAACCTGGTGTTTCCTAATTTATTCTTCTTTTTTGAAGAACTCCGCTCATTATTGCCAGCTAGGCTGTGGTGGAGATCGTAGTTTCCTCAGTGGGGTGCCATGTGCAGCCCGAAGACCCGATCCCCTTTTTTTTGTCTTTTTCATCAGTGTTGCTTGATACATGACCTATAAACCATTAGATTAGGTAGATGTTTGTCTGCTTATTTCTTATCGTTAACACATTTTTTCTACTCTCTTTTTTTGGATGTTGCATGATTCTGTGAAGGGTCAAGAGAGCGACTCATCAGAGACTTCGGTCCGGGGTCCACGCATCAAACATGTGTGCCGTCGTGCAGCTGTGGCTCTTGGCCGTAACCGGGCAGTGTTTCCCGACGACATGCCCACACTTAGTGCCTTGCCCTGGGAGGAGAGAGAAAAGATCCTATCTTCCATGGGGAATGACGGTAAGCGCCAATTATACCCTAGCTCTCATTTGACTTGCATACGGTAACTGAAATAAGAGCAAATTTAGCCCGGCTGTTCCTTTTTTGGGTAAAATCCTTTGTATAGTCAAAGGCAGGACATATCTTAACACTTAAATCATTTTAATCACGGTTTGTTATTTATGAGAACATCTGTGCTCGTTCTGATTAAAACATGTGATGTTGTGATGGCAGACTCCTCATAAGAGTATCAAAGTCCAGTCATTTGGAGCACACATGTGCAGTGAAGTAATGAAGGAGTGAGAGGAGTTTTGCTGCTCTGTTCCTATTATTTCTGACTGTGTTCATTTCATGTTGCAACATGTGAATTCATGTGATGCTCTAGGTCCTGATGGTGACAAGCCAGGAGTCTGGAGTTGTATATATGTAATTAATCATTGTGATGATGATGATGCTGAACATGTAGACCTTTTTATTGATCAAAAAGTCTTGCTGATCAGCTTTGTGTGACGGATTGTCTTTGCAGATAAGTCGTCAGTAGCAGGCTCAGAGGAGGCAGAGCCCCAGTCTCCTCCCATTAAGCCACGGGAGATGCGACCAAAGGGCATTCAGGAAGCTCCTCCAAAAAAGGGGCGCCGGTCACGCCGCTGTGGCCAGTGCTCAGGCTGCCAGGTTCCGGAGGACTGTGGCATCTGCACTAACTGTCTCGACAAGCCCAAGTTTGGAGGGCGGAACATTAAAAAGCAGTGCTGCAAGTGAGTTTTGGCTGTGGATTTGTTTGTCTCGAGTGGCTTTGTAAAAATTCGTTATTTTAACAGCTTTATTTTAAGCTGTCAGGTTTGAGCATTTTTAATGTTTTATTTACAGGATGAGAAAGTGTCAGAACCTGCAGTGGATGCCCTCGAAGATGTTTCTTCAAAAGCAAGGAAAGGGCAAGAAGGACAAGAAAAAGAGCAAGTTTTCTGAGAAGAGAGACGGTGTGAATTCAGTAAAAGGACCCAGTTCAGAGCCGGGCGGTAAATCCTCTCCAGCTCCGCCAAAAGAGGATCCCCTCTGTAAAAACACCGAAGCTCCTCCTTTAAAGCTGGGAGAGGAGAAGTCAAGACAGCAACCACAGTTGAAGCAGTCCTCCCCGGCACTCGCCTCGTCTCCTTCCCCTTCCCCACTAGAACCCACCCAGGCCCAGCTTCCAGTCAGCGCCCAGGCCCAGTCTCCAGCTCCCACACCAGACCCCAAACAGCTACCAGTCTCCTGCAGCGACACCAGTAAAAAGGGACACAAGCCACAGCAGCCTATCCAATCTTCTGCCTCCACAACCACATCCTCATCTTCTCCTTCGTCCTCATCTTCATCATCTTCATCCTCGTCGTCTTCAGCCCAGAATTCTCCCTCCCAGTCTATTCCGTGTCACCAGCTCTCACAGCAACAGCCATCTACTAGTCAGGCCCCTTCCAGAAAAGATACTTCACCCAAGATTTCTGTGAGTGAACCCAAGAAGAGGCCCCAGCAGTTTTCTACGCAGCAGCAGCAGCAGAGTTCAGCCGCAGCAGGTGAGAGGCTGGCCGCTCTTTTCATGCTGTGTTAATCTTTAAACGAGTGTACTTAAGCAGCAAATGCGCCATCGAGGCCTGCAGGTTCTTCCTTTGCAAATTCTCCACATCTCCACCATGTTTCACACACCTCGGCTCCTGCTTTGCTGCAGGAATAATACATATTTAATCACTTTCTCACTCTTATTTGATTGCTATGTTCTGTTTCTTCATCCTAGTTGACGCCAAACAGTTGAAGAAGCAACCATCTCGCACTATTTCTCCGTTTCCTAAGCAGAAACCAAAAGACATGGTAGGAGTCCCTGAGATTGATCAAAATGCTGTTTTGTATCTTTAACAGTCTCGTAGGTACTTTGGGGAGAGACCACACATGATCTCTGACTCTGCACTCTCTTCTGTGTCCTGTTTGCTCTACACTAAAAGGCGCTGAGCACTAAACCTCCCAGCAGCAGTACTTTAAACTCGCTGAGCACTCCCTCGACTAGGGAGCAGGTGAGGTCCAGAGCTCCCTGCGACGGAGTGCATCGTCTCAGAGTGGATTTTAAGAGCGATCAGGATGTGGAGAAGGTGTGGGAGGCTGGTGGCCTCAGCCTGCTCACCTCTGTGCCCATCACACCCAGGGTACTTTGCTTCTTGTGTGCCAGCAGCGGGAACTTAGAGGTAAAAACAAACAATAACTGGAGTAATAGTCACAACTTCTTGTCATTTAAAGTCGATTTACTCGATCCAGTTGACGCTCTCTCTTTCTCTACAGTTTGTCTTTTGCCAGGTCTGCTGTGAGCCCTTCCATCTGTTCTGCTTGGGGGAGTCAGAGCGCCCTCTCCAGGAGCAGTTTGAGAACTGGTGCTGTCGAAGATGCCGGTTCTGCCAGGCCTGTGGGCACCAGCACCAAAAAGCTAAAGTAAGCCAATTAGTACAAAAGAAGCTGAGTTTAGACTGACAGAGTGGAGATTCCTCCAAGAGAGAAGAAGCTTCGCTAACACACCTTTTCATCACCCCCTGGTTTCCTGCCGCTGTTTTATTATTTAGCTCCCACTGTGTTCAACATGTGCACCATGTGTGCTCTGTGCTCTGTGTGGCCGCCATTTAAGAGTGACATATGATCACGTTTGATCTGAGCAGCACAGTAAAGCTACTGTGTGAAATAATAAGATTAAGTAAAATTGTATTACTATAATTAGTGAGCTGTTTAAACACCAGCAAGTGTCTGCCATTGTGATCTCACTACAGAACATGACATGAAAGTCTGAAATCTCAGCTTGTTGTTTCAAAAAGAACTACGGGTACATTTTCAGTTCAAAATGGAAACCTGCTGTTCACTTGTTATTCACAGGCAACAATAGCTTGTTGGGAACATTTAGGTATTTCGCTTGTTTTTTGACTCTTGTTGTCTTTCTTTTTGCCTCTTGCACCGTAGCAGCAGCTGCTAGAGTGTGATAAGTGCCGTAACAGCTATCACCCGGAGTGCCTGGGTCCTAACTACCCCTCCAGACCCACCAAGAAGAGAATCTGGGTATGGACCCACGCCACTCTGCCCTCTCCTCATCAGATCTGTGCTACTTATAGCCACTGGATGGTCATTTCTAAAGAAATACCATTTGTAGGCAGAGCTTTGATGTTTTAGCCATGTTTTCATTTCAGATCTGCACTAAGTGTGTGTGCTGCAAGAGCTGTGGAGCCACCAAACCCGGGAAGTCCTGGGATGCTCAGTGGTCACATGACTTCTCCATGTGTCACGACTGTGCCAAACGTTTTGCTAAAGGTGAGTGAGCACGATTTTACCGTTCTGCCTGGTAGCCCCAGTTCAAGTAGCTGTTCCAGGAATCTCATCAGAGCGGCTTTTCTCAACTCCGCTCTCGTAGGAAACCTCTGCCCGCTGTGCGACAAGTGTCACGATGATGAGGACTGCGACAGCAAGACAATGGTGTGCAGCCGCTGCAACAGATGGGTCCACGCCAAGTGTGAGAATCTTACAGGTTAGTGAGAAGCAATGCAGATAGCACGGTCATGTTTTCCACTTCTGCCGCCATTTCAGGATTTGACGAGAGAGCTGTCATGCTGATGAGATGCTCCAATACAATAAATCTTAATGACGGCAGCAATAATGACCTGTCATTCTGCCTTCCCTCAGATGAAAAGTACCAACTGCTGTCAAAGCTGCCAGAAAGCGTTGCCTACATGTGTACCAAATGCACTGAATGCCACCCGGCCGAGTGGAGGGCGGTACTGGAGAGAGAGCTTCAAGGCTGCATTCGCAACATCCTTAATGCTCTGCTCAACTCGCGCACATCCACACACCTTCTACGCTACACACAGGTGTCATATGCTTTTGCTTGTATTTATTCTCTTTATTGTGGTGTACCTTGATTTATTGTGATGCTCGGGTCATTTTAGTGGATATTAGGAGGGATTTAAATGTTCTCTGACTCTGCAGGCAGTGAAGCCTCCAGAGCTGAATCCGGAGACAGAGGAGAGTCTGCCATCCCGTCGTTCCCCGGAGGGCCCAGATCCTCCGGTTCTTACCGAGGTCACTCCAACACCTCCCGGCGACTCCCCTCCAGACCTCAAGTCTGTCGAGAAAAAAATGGATCAAGGTCGATATAGCTCATTGGTGAGTCTGTTAGCTGTGCATCTGTAACAAAGTGGCTCGGTTTCAAGTAAAAACATGGAGATGGTGGCCTTATTTTAATCAGAGGCACATAGTGCATCAAGCTTAGGAGGTAAATGTGCAAGTCTGTGAAAAACCTTCCTTAAGTGGTGCGTTGTAAGCTCCGTATCATTAACGTTTGTGGTTTCTCTGCCAGGTGGAGTTTAGCGACGACATCGTTCGAATCATTCAGGCAGCCATCAGCAGCGACGGCGGTCAGCATGAGAGCAGAAGAGCCAACAGCATGGTGAAGTCTTTCTTCATTCAGGTGAGGACAGAAATTTAAAAGTACACACTAACTCCATAATGACGGTATGGGTGACATCAGACCGTTTATATAATATTAGCGTCATCATCATCATCATCCTTCCTGCCACCAAAAAGCAGGTCTAGCCAAGTCCTTCGTTTAGCCTGATGCACCAACTTCACTGAATTTCCTCCTGTTCCAGCAAATGGACCGAATCTTCCCGTGGTTCAAAGTGAAGGAATCCAGGTTCTGGGAAAGGCAAAGAGTCTCCGCCAAGTGAGTTTCCATCACAGCAAAGCAAATACCAGCAGTTATGTAATTACATCGTGTTCAGGGTCTGCTCTGTGCTGCTCATCAAAGTTACACGAAAGGCCATTAATCTTTTAGGTGAGTCTAGATTTGTTCGTGTAATCCAAAATTGCAAACATGGACACAAAAAAGCTAAAAGTGATTATTAATTTGTTAAAACTAAATAAAGTCAGGGAGTTAGATGTTTTTTGTGTCACTTGCATCAACATAATGTGCCATTATTTTCTAATCCTGTAGTCCAAGTTATGCTGGTAATTACAGAGAAGAGGAGGATTTGATCTGCATTATTTCTGTAATACGAGATCCTCCAAAATCCTTTGAGAAGTTTTCAAGCGTAGCTGGTCTGTAATTATTGAAATTAGGAGCCAGATGTGGTCTCTTTGGACGAGGCAGGATCATCCTCTGCACACACGAGAGCACCATGAAGCAGCAAAATAGTATTTATGCATTTTGAACTGATGTTATTAGTGGAATCGGCTCAAACAATACTTGTGTGAAGTCACAGAAGCCTCACATGTTCACTGTTTTAGTCACTTAGATGGAGCTGTCAACTTTCTCACAGCTTTAGTTCTGCCTCTCCTCCTGGCGCTGCAGGAGGCGAGCTGTAACAGAGTCAGATTCACCGGAGGCTGCTTGATGCATTTGTGTTATTTGTGGTTTACTGATGCTTTTTGAATCCGTTCAGCAGTCTAGTAAAGCTGTGATTCATCCAAAGGATCTCAAACCCATCAGTGGAAAGATTTGTTTTAGATCCGTCTCCTGGCTCTCGGATATTAAAATTTCACATCACACGAACCATGACTCTGCAAACGTTCCTGGATTGGGCTATTTAGTACTCGTGGCAACTGCCCAAAATGTTTGAATTTGATAGATTTCTGATAAAACATTTATAATCGCTGCTCAGCCATAATATTATGACCAATGATAATGCAACATAGAGCTGGAAAGTCTTTTTTTTAATTTTTTTTTTATGAAGAAATCACAGCCTCCACATTGGAACAGCAGTCTGTTCCAGACACTCGTGGGCCTTCATTCATCAATCCTTTGTAGAAACTTTCCTACACTCCTTCCTACAAATTCAATTTAGAATGTTCGTACAAACGGCCAAAATCCTGACTCATCAAACATGTGCTGGCCACTCGTGCATGTCCCTCCGCAATCGACTGTTGCTAAATCCCACATGTGCCCACCCATGTGCTCGTGTCCGTTCACCGTCATTTACATTCAGAGATGCCCTCAATTAACCATATTTGATCACACTACATCCTCATCCCATTGGAGGGATTTCCTGCGTTCCTACCAAAAGAAATAAATAAAAAAACTTTATTGACAGCGAGATTGAGGCACTGGCTGTCGAAGTGGAGAGAACCAAACATGTTGCAGAGGCTGTAATCTTATTATTTCCCTGTCACAAATAAAGAAAAAGTGGTTTGACATAAAACTGAACATGAAGAATACAGATTAGCAGACTGGATGCTCCAGCTCTGTTGTCATTTACAGTTTACATTTATGGAGCTGAATGCATGCTCTGTTTGGAGTTAGTGTTGTTCTTGTTTGGAAATGCTTGCTGTCTGAGTGCAGAGCTACACAGGTGCCAGTTAGTCCGGTTACCATGGCAACGCATGCATGTTTGGGGAGCGGAGCGCAGGACGTTCTGATGCACTCTTGTAGTTGTAAATAACTGAATATGGACTGGATTCAGATTGTTGTGCTTTGTCTGCCGTGCCGCATGAAGGGTCCCAAATCACGTAGAAGGATCTCCTTCAGGAATGAGATCAGTGCGCTCACGGAAGACCCTTCCCTCCCATTCCTTCCAGAGTGCACTTTCTGCCTAATTTTCCAATAATACAAGATCAGCCATGTTATAATATCAGATTCCTGTCAGTCACAAGTGCCTGTTATAGTTTGTAACATCAGTTGTGAGATGAAGGAACTTTCTTCGTACAAAGACAAATTGGTGAAAATCACACACTTAATAAAATTGTTCCTACTCACAAAATACGCACCGATCTGTGCGTAAGTACGGTTGATGAATGAGGGCCCTGGAGATATTTTAGTTGTTCGATGTTTGGTGGGACTCAGTATTAGGCTAACATGTGTATGGACTATTGCAATCATGGTAACATTTGATATGCAAGAGTGAATCATTTTGAATGAGTTAAAGCTTCTTTTCTACATCAGCTGCACGGATGTTACAAATAATAGGGATTGGTTTTATAGAATTCTGTTGATTTCACTTCTTCGAAGAGTTCAAAATGTCCACTTATTTAAGGTATTCTTTATTTCATTCATTCCAAGGTGGAACTTAAAAACTAAAAATATATCAAAACAAAACTCCCTGAATGAAAAGGAGCAGAGAGAAGAAACTATCTTTATCTTATCTCACAGTTTTTCAATACTTTCTAAACTTTACTTGTTAACTCACACATTTTGTTTATCCACATTTGAACTCATTTTTAATGTAAAGATCTAGACCCTTTGGGCTGATCTGTGTTTCATCAGAGTGTTTGAACCTGTTGTTGTCCCCAGCAGCGGGCTCCTTCCCAATGCCGTTCTGCCTCCATCCCTGGACCACAACTACGCCCAGTGGCAGGAGAGACAGGAGCTCTGTCGTGCCGAGCATCCACATTTTATGAAAAAGATTATCCCAGCTCCCCAGCCGAAGCTCCCTGGAGAACCCGATTCAACAGCCTCCCCTCCTCCTCTTCCTCCCTCTCTTCCTCCACCACCCACTCACCTACCAGGTGCGACATACACAAACAATTTTACCACAGATGCCCGTACTTGTTTCTTTTTTATTTTCATATCAAACTGTGGTTGTTTTCGTTTCAGATCTTGAAGACAGCCCAGAGCTTCCTCCTCCGCCGGGCGTCACTGACAACAGGCAGTGTGTTCTGTGTCTCAAATACGGAGACGAGAACACAAATGTGAGTCACCAACGCATCTCAGCTCACTTCAGCACACAAAAGGCCGTGTCTGTGTGACTTGTAACATTTCTGTGTGTTTTAGGAGGGCGGCAGGCTGTTGTACATTGGTCAGAACGAGTGGACCCACGTGAACTGCGCTCTTTGGTCTGCTGACGTGTTTGAGGATGATGATGGCTCTTTGAAAAATGTTCACATGGCTGTTCGCAAGGGGAGGCAGATGGTCAGACGTTTTGACTAAGTGGCCACTCCTTCTAATGCATGTTCATTGGACAAACACTAAAAAGGGGTTGTGCTTTGTGTTCAGCGCTGTGAGAGGTGTGAAAAGACCGGAGCCACAGTCAGCTGCTGCCTGGCCTCCTGCACTAGCAGGTACCACTTCATGTGTGCCCGCCAGTGCCACTGTGTCTTCTTGGAGGACAAGAAGGTCTACTGTTCAAAGCACAGGGACCTCATCAAAGGAGAAGTAGGGGGTTATCACTGGAAGAAATTCAGCTGACACTTGAATTTAAACGTTATTCCTCACCCGTTGTGTGTTTGTTTACTTTTACTCAAGGTGGTGTCTGGTTTCGAGGTAACCCGTAGGATCTTGGTAGACCTTGAGGGCATCAGTCTCAGGAGGAAGTGGCTGGCAGGACTGGAGCCAGAAAACATCCACATGATGATCGGTAGGTCACCTGCTGCTGAACATTGACGTTTCCTCCGCTTCCGTCCAACTCTGATCTAAACATCCCCGTTTCAGGCTCCATGACAGTTGATTGTTTAGGAATACTGACTGAACTCTCCGACTGTAAACGAAAGCTCTTCCCTGTGGGATACCAGTAAGTAGAGATTTATCTATAATTCTTCTCTCACTGTTATCTCTGACAGCATTTTTCATTTTCAGTCGCAACACCTCATCTGACTGCAGAGGAAATGCAAAAGGCTTGTCAAACTGAACACATTTTCCTCTTTCTAGGTGTTCAAGGGTGTACTGGAGCACTTTAGATGCCCGAAAGCGCTGCGTCTATACCTGTAGGATATTAGTTTGCCACCCTCCAGTGGCAGAGTCTGGCCTCAAGTGCATGATGGCTGCGGAGGAGAATCGCACAATTGCCCACAGCCCACCTCCCTTAACAGGTAAAGCTACCAACGTCACACATTTTAATTTTAGAAGGTTTGGATGCTGTAGGAAACAAATAACTTTGGAAAATTTTCAAATATTTGAATCAGATTTAAAGTAATTTTGTTCAGTCAGAAGATAAAACTCTAGAAAACATTGACTCAATTTGCATTTAATGGTTTCAAAAGTGAAAAATCGTCTTACTTTTCTTTGGCCCTGCTTCTCCTAATAACATTTACAGCTTGTGTCGATTATTTATGTTGAAATAAGCAAGGCAGTGTCAGGGAAATAGTTTTTTCTTGTTTTTAGGTCTTTTCCCTCTACAACTCATTTGCATTAAAGATTCACCATGCTTGCTAGCATTAGTTCTAATGTTAAAGGGAGGTTTTGGCCTCGTTGAAACGTGTTTTTATGTAAAAAATTATGAATAATTTCGATTGTCGAAAAATCATCCTGAGCTGCCTCTGTTCACCCAGAGGAGCTAACAGCTAGCCCAAATGCAGCCAAGACCAAAGTAGGTTACTGTAGTCCTACGAGTGCTCCAGTCAACACATCTTAATAGCAGTTCACAAGAACTAAATAATTGTTGTATAATTATTTTGGTAGAGAAGCTAAAAAGTTTCTGCTGCAGTTAAAGATGGTCCTCAGGGTTGATTATTGTTTTTGCTTAAACTGATTTTCATGATTCTTGTCTTGTTTTGTCCAAACATAGATTTTCCAGATCCATTTGAGTCTCCAAGACGTTCTGAAAATCTTTCCCCTGCCAACACCCCCAAGCTCAGGGTTTACTCTCGAAACCGGCACCCCAGCTACCCTCCTTGTCAGCGCTCACTAGACTCCAAGCCCACCCCATCTCCAGGTTCAAATGCTGTTTTACATAAATTAACTAAAGATAAGACTTCACAACAAAGCATCAGCTTAAATACCATTTCTTTTTCCTAGGTGGTGTCTCTCAGCCCCACAGCCACGTGCTGGTCACCGTAGGAGGCTCCTTGGTAAACTCTAGCATGAGAAATACTGATTCACGACGTCACAGCTCCCCATCTCTTTCTTCTGCACCCCAACATCTAAACCGACACAGAGGAGTGACCTCTCCACCTCAGCTTTTATCTCGACCCATCACCTCACCCCCTCCCCTCATCCCCTCACCTGCCAGAGACCCTGAAAAATCCAAACACTTCAACAAAGACGTGACAAAGAATCCAGTCCAGAGAGATGATGCAAGAGCCAGGTCGTTCTCAGCAGACAGGAACCGACTGCAGACAAACAGAGAACAAGGACTAAGAGATGCAGACAAGGGGAGAACGTCAAGTCAAGACCATGCTTCCAAGGACTCTGACAGGGGTAAACCGCCCAGAGAAGCTGGGCAAAAAGACTCAGATAAGGGCCAAATATCTGCCAAAGAGCCAGAGAAGAGGAGGCTTTTAAGTACAGAATCGGGTCTGAAAGAGTCTGAGAGTGGAAGAGCTCTTAGTAGAGATCCTCAGAGAGATTCTGAAAGGGGGAGACAGGCGAACAGAGAGTCTGACAAGGAGAGACAGGCAAGCAGGGAATTGAGCACTCGAGACACAGATAAGACTAAACTGTCCTCCAGAAATTCCAGCTATAGGGATGTGAATAAATCCGGGTCTCTCAGTAGAGACACCGGAGGAAGAGACTCAGAGAAACAAAGACAGCACAGCAGGGAAACGGGAAAAGACTCAGGACAAGGTAAAGACAGACCACCCAGCAGAGATTCTGACAAGGGTCGACCTCCTTCTAGAGATTCTAGTTACAGAAGCTCAGAGAGAAGCAAAGATTCTGGCTCAGGGAAAGATTGCAACGCTGGAATTCAGTCTAAACGCGCTGGAAGTGAAAGTAAGAGTCCAAGACTAGCCCCTGCAGGCTCAGGACAGTCCTCCCCTCCTGTGGGAACAGCTGTTAATTCTGGCCAACAGAGAAGTGGTACCAAACAGGTTGAAAAGCATGGAAGCAAAGACCAGGATGTTGCCCCGAGCCAGAGTTCTTCACCTCGTCACCGACCCACGACCACCTCCAGCGTGTTTCCATGCAAGGACAAGCCCGGCTCAGGGAAGGAGTGTAGCAGTGCCACTGGAAATATCACACCGTCTCCACTCCACAAGGATTCTGTTGTTGCAAAATTCAGCTCCCCACAGAAGTCCAACACACGCAAATCAAATGACTTTGTACTAGGTCAGACAGCAGGAGCCGCTGTGAATCCTCTGTGGTCATCAAGGACATCATTAGAAGATGATGTTGTTAAACGTAGCTCCCTGCTTCTGGCTCCACCAGCTGCCAAAGACAAACAGCCCAAAGTTAAGACAGCAGGCAGCAGAGATGCATCCAAAGACCGAGACAGGGAGGCAAACCCTCAAAACAGCAATAGCAGCAACAAAATTCCGCTTCTCAACAACAAAGCTAAAATGAGCGGGATCTTCAACACGCACCCATCAAACTCCAGCTCTTACAACAGCAGCAGCAGAGCTCCAGTGCTCGGAAACAGCACCAAAGCCCACGGAAAGCCTCAGGGAGAGAAACACGAGAACCAGGGAGGTGAACGGTCCTCCAAAAAGAGCAGGGACAGCTACTCCTGTCCAGAGAGGAAGAACAGCTCCAGTCTGGAGAGCTTACAGCTGAGCGGGTTAGCTGCAGAGAAGGGTGTGACAACCTCCAACCAGCCTCACACTAAACAGCTAACACAAATGGCTAATCAGCTTTCTCTGTCCTCCAGAGACAAAAAGAGATCAGTCAAACCCTCCACTCCAGCTTTACTCAAGTCTGAGGTCAAGACTGATCGTAATGGTACCAGCGGCATTGCTGATACCTCCTCATCCTCTTGTCCTATAAGCACAGTCTCACCGGTTTTTCCTGCTGTACAGGGGGATCACCGCTCTGCTCGCTCCGCTCTCTTCTCCTCACCGTCTGCCAGCAGCAGCGACAGCTCTGACTCTGACAACCAGACTCAGGCTGAGGCGGACGACCAGCACAAAAGCCACTTGCACAGCAAGCTCAGAGACCGTCACAGTCTGCTCGCTCGGCCTGCAGAGGACGACGGCGATGGCCCAGAGGATGACCACGACAGGGGTTTGGAGGACAAGCACCACGAGGACGACAGTGACGGATCGGGGTCGGCCAAGCGGCGCTACCCTCGACGCAGCGCCCGTGCACGCTCCAACATGTTTTTTGGCCTCACACCTTTCTACGGAGTTCGCTCATATGGCGAAGAGGACCTTGCGTTCTACAGCAGCGGCGATGGAGCAGGAGCTATGGTGAAGAGACGGAGCGGTGGTCGCAAGAAGTCAGCCGAGGGCCAGGTGGATGGAGCAGATGATATGAGCACCTCATCTTCATCAGAAGACAGCGGAGAGGATGAAGACTGTGGGATGAAGAACAGGGGTAAAGACCCGTACTACTACAACTTCACCCGGACAATAATTAACCCCGGGGAAGGTCTTCCATCTATAGAAGGATTGGACCACTGCCTGGGAAGAGGATCCCAGCTCCAGCGCTTTCTAAAAGACGAAGAACAGCAGCAGCAAAGGAATCAAGAAAAAATAGAAGAAGACATGCTGACAGCTTTGTTAGTACACTTTTGTTTCTTCAGATGATCAAAAATTCTTGGTTTTCTTTGGACACTAATGTTCTATTTGTTGTCTTTAACAGGACTTTGGGAAAGCAGAGAATCGGCCAGCTTGATGGTGCTGATGACGGCTCAGAGAGCGACACCAGCATCTGCACGACCAGCACCACCACCACTACGGCCACCCCGTCCTCCACCACACATAAAAGCACTCCCAAGAGGAGAGGCAGAGAGAGGCACGCCGACAAAACGGACTCCCACGACTCAAGCAAAGATGCTGAAAACAGCGGCGGAGCAGGAAGCGGCAACACACGAGAAAGCAGAAAGAACCAGAAGGAAAATTGTCTTCCTCTTGGGGGCGGGGCCAAATCCCAGGCTCAGAATCAGGGTCAGGATCCTATAGAGGCCCAGTTGTCCCTCAGCACAGACCTGCTAAAATCAGACTCTGACAATAACAACAGCGATGATTGTGGGAATATTTTGCCATCTGACATCATGGAGTTTGTTTTAAACACGCCGTCCATGTCGCTGCCGACTCTGGGTCAGCAATCTGGGTCCTCGTCCTCAGAGCTGCTGCTGGATGACAGCTATGGGGTAGATGTCAACCGGCGGAAGGATATTCTGTTTGATGACTTCTCGCAGCCACTGCCCAGTGCTGAAGGTGGAGGGGTTGTAGAGAGCAGTGTAAATGGCTCCATATCGGTAGAAGAGCCTTATCTTCCTCTAGAGCTGCCCTCTGACCTCTCTGTTCTAACCACACGCAGCCCCTCTGTCAGTGCCAGTCAGAACCACGCTGCTGGGAGTCTCATCTCGAATACCTCAGACCGCACCATGCTAGGATTGAACTCTGACCCAGAAAGCATCAGTGGAGATAAAAGTGGAGACAAGAAAGGAGCGGGACCCGGTGTGGCGTCTTCTGAGAATCAGCACGACGGCACAGCTCTGGGAAATAGAGACGCGCAGGTCACGGATGGTCACATGACTCCGGAGCAGTTTATTTCCAGTCCTGTTATTGGTCAGGTAGTTGAACCCACCGCTAACCATGATGTGAACAGAAATTCTGGTACTTCAGGTTTGCCAAACTCTCCCTCTGTGCCTCTTCAGAGTCAGAAGTACCTTCCGGCTGCTGCTGCAGGAAGTCCCAGTCCAGTGCTTGGTCCTGGCCCTCCCCAGGCTCAGGTGTCCAGCCCAACAGTCATCAAACCAGGTCCTGACAAGCTCATCGTGGTCAATCAGCAGTTCCAGCCGCTCTACGTTCTTCAGACAGTCCCTAATGGCGTCACACAGAAAATCAGCGCAGCGGGAATGATGGACACGTCCTCTCAAGCAGTGCTGAGTCCCATGACTCTCACCCAAGGGTTGAATGCTAGTTTATCATCAGCTCAGTCAATTTTTCCTGCTGGTGGTAAAGTCCTGGGCACCATAACACACCCTTCTCAGATCCACACCTTCACAGGATCCACGCAGGCGGGCTTCCAGACGGGAATCCCCAGCACCACCTCCGGGCTGCTCATTGGTCTGCCCTCTCAGCCCCATGAACAGTCCCAAATTTTGGTCTCAGAGGCTGGTAAACATCAGGAGTTGGCCCACAGCGTCGCCATCGTTTCCAGCCCCTCCTCCCTCTCTTCCTCCCCTGCTGTACTTGCTTCCGCTCATGGCAAGAAGAGGCCTATTTCCCGTCTGCCAAGAAAAAGCAAAAAACCAGCTCGCTCCCGCAGCCAGCCCAACCTGGCCCCGTCTGAGGTCGGCCCCCCCAACATGACCCTCATCAACCTGTCTTCCCCACAGATCACTGCGAGCATTTCTGGCCAACCAGGTGGTCTGGTTGAGTTAGGTACTCTCTCCACTGCGCAGCGCAAGGTCCCCAATATCATCAAGAGACCAAAATCCGGTGGAGTGATGTACTTGGATCCCACTACAATCCTGCAGCAGAGAATTCCTGGTCCCGGCCAGCCTGGCATCCTGGGTCACGATTCCTCAACTCACCTCCTACCATGCTCTGTCTCTGGTTTAAACCCCAGTCAGTCAGTGTTGAACGTCGTGTCTGTTCCATCCAGCGGCTCTGCTGGTCTCCTCGCTTCAGGATCAGTGTCACTCTCCACTCCTGTTCTAAGCTCTGCTGAGATCACAGGCCCCATTAGCAACCTGCTTTTTAAAGCCGGTCCCCACGGTGTGGGCCTGTCTGATCAGCCGGTGGTCCTTCAGCCAGCAGGGGGAGCTCCTCTCATGTCGCAGCTGGGCCCCTCCATTCAGACCACCATAGCCAGCAGCATCTGTGTCCTGCCCACCCAACAGACTCTCAGCATGGCTGTCAACCAGCATGGAGACGCAGAGGACGGCAGCATCCACTTACATCACCAGCCCATTAGCAGAGCTCAGGCTGTGGACTCCAATCCAAACATTACATTATCTTCTAGCCCGTCCACCCCACTAAGTCCCGCCAAGGGACGTGTTGTTGGAATGTTTACTCAAAAACAGACCTCAGTGCACTCCCAGACTAGCAGAACAACACCCATTTCCAGATTATCGGAACAACGGCCAACCAACTCTACCGCGGCAGTGCCACGCTTGCTTTCTGTGGCAGAAAAAAACAAAAAGAAAGCAAAGAGGGGCCGACAGAGTCTGGACACGAACACCGGGAAGAAGCTAAAGGCTTCTCAGGTGGAAGATCATCACGGGAATCTTGAAAAACCGCTCCCACCTTCAAACCTAAGGTCAGACACTCTTCCTGTTGCTTTTAGAGCTGTGTTTATTTTTAGGAATTTTCTTTTTTTAGCTTTTCATGACATCACAAATCTAAACAGAGCTTGCTATGATTCCTTACATCAAACCCTCTTCAATTGTGTTTCTGTGCAGCTCCAGGGAGCTGACCTCTCCTGAACCCATGGACACAGGCAAACCTCCAGATAAGACCACCAACAAGAGGTACGGCGTTCCACTATTAACTCACACACTTCCAAGCTGGGCTTAAAATAGAACACTAATATTTTGTTGACATGTTTTTCCAGTGTAATTGGGAAGAAGAAGATGCCCGAAGGACATGCTTTAGCAGAGAAAATAGTGGGGATGGATAAACCCTCAGCAACCGGAGAAGCTGGGTCTCTTCCTGCGGCATCACCACCCGACCAGGACGGTAACAGCAGGGATTCTGGCCTAGATAGCAAACCCAAAAAGGGCATCGTCTTTGAAATCTGCAGCGAGGACGGCTTCCACATTCGCTGTGAGAGTATTGAAGGTGAGTCAGAAAGTAACCAAAGCAGTGACCAAAACGTTTCAGAAAGATGTGATCCTTGTTACTCAATAAACTAGACTGATACTTGGTTAAGAACTTCTCCTTTATTCCGCCATGACACCATCGAACTCCCGCACAAAAAGGCCATTCCTCCGGAAGCAACCACACACTTTCAGAATAAAAGCATCTATGCCAACAGGACATTTGTTTAACATAAACGCATTATTAACAATCTCGCCTATCCTTTTAAAAGAAATTATATTTATCACTTACACCTATAAAGATGAGCTCTTTCAAAAACAAACAAAACCAACTGACTGATATGTGCGACTGGATAGGTTTAATACATTTTTTTATATTCAACAGTCCATTGTCCCTCACTCAGCGTTTTCAGCTGAAAGCAGGAGGCCCCCTTTTTTTGTGAGAGTCTACAAGTTGAGCTTTGGCGCTGTGCCACAACACTTGCTCAACCTTTTGGGTTTGAATGAGCTCCCTTATGCTGCTCATTTCAAGGCGAAGTCTTTTTTCAGAGACCGACTTCGTTGACTTGAGTGCGTCGACAAGAGAATGGTTGTCTGTAATACAGATTATGGGGACAGCATGTTTTAAGTCTCCAGTTGTCAACTCTGAAAACAATGTAGACAGGAAAAGTGCATTATTAATTCCATCAGACATTGCCAGTGTTTCGCCCGCTATTGTGCTCCATACAACTCTCTCAGCTCTTCGTGACTGCCAGGAGAGTGGTGAAAGCTTTCCATCCTTCCCTATGAGGACAGTTAGATGTCCTCCTTGTGTTCCTCCGTCGGGAAGATTTCCAAAAGAAGCATCACTGAACACAGCAATCTTGAGATCGCTGTCTCTGCCCAGTTGTCCAAAGTTCAAAGTTACACTCTTTGTCTTCAGTTTGCACACTGCTCTGTTAGTTTCATGAATCGTGTTCACAGTTGCATCCTTCATGCTTGACGCCAACATGCTTACGTCAAACATTATATCTGGCCTGGTTTGTCTTGCCACCCAAAGAAGCTGACCCACTTTGGGTCTGAGTTGATCCTTTTCTCCTGGTAAGAGAAGTGACTCTTGTTGTACGGTGCGTTGGGGGTCCACATGGATGGGCTGCAGTTGCTGGATGTAGGTTTCCTGGTGTATGTGTGCCTCTTTGTCAATAGTCACAAAATCCATTCCCACATAACTGAAGTTGTTCTGCTCTTCACGGCCAACTTGAAATGCATCTCTTATCTGGAGTATCACTGTTGAAGAGAAGCTCTCTGTTCCTCCCCAAATGAAGTCATCCACATGACAAACAAGTACTCCAACAACATTGCCTTCTTGACCCGTCCAAAAGAAAACAGCAGGGTCAACCTTTGATATGTTTCCTCCAAGTCTTTGTACAATCTCCTTTACACGATTGTACCAATACAGTGATGCATCTGCTAATCCATACACACATTTTTTTTTAGTTTCCACAGTCTGCCGTCGGAGTGTGCTTCTGGTGGAGGTCTGATATAAAGATCACGTGACAGTTCAATTCCTTGTAGAAATGCAGATTTAATATCCATCGAGTTAAGCGTCCATGTTCTCTGGCAGATAACTGCAACAAGCATGCAAAGGGACTCTGAAGCACATGTTGGTGAGTCCTTTTGTAGTTCCGACACTTGTAATTCTTCAAACCCTCTGGCCACCATACGTGCTTTAGGTTTTAATCCATCAGACGTCTCCTTCACAGTGCAGACCCATCTTGTGGAGATTGACTTTTGCCCTTCATCTCTAACCTCTACAAAAACATCATTGTCCTTCCAACTTTTTATCTCGTTTTGTTTTGCATCATCAAACGCTAAATCTCCCATCACAAACACCTCCTCACTTGTACCTGTTACATCCACTTCCATGTCAACTTGTACCTGGAAATCTTCCAGTTGTTTGATGTCAACTGAACTGGTGTTTTCCTGCCAAAGAACACAAGAGCCACATTGTACCAGTTTCTATATTTGCCCGTGGCTTTTCCTGCACGGCCCAGCACTTTATCTGTATGAAGGCCTCCAGTTTCACGATCTTTGTATTCTATCACCTGTCCAGGTTTCAAACAAACAATCTGGCTGCACATCCCTCTGTTCGTTCCTTTCATATTCTCCTCTTGTTGTAGGTGCTGCAGTAGTTTCTCCAGCATCCTCACCAGCTGTTACTTCTGGTTGTCCCAGTGTGTTTGTGTGCTCTGCAGCCTCCATGTCATCAACAAAGTCTCTTGTCCTCTCCTGACTTAGCACAGCATTTTCTTTTATTTCTGCGTAGTTTTCCAGTTGTAAATCATCTTTCTCGTTGTCCACCTTTTTCAGTCTGAGTTGATGGACTCTGATACACATTCCACCATGTCTGACAAACACCACTGCACCATCTTGTCCAGTGACGACTCCTGGTCCTTTCCACTCTGGGGAGTCCACTCTCTTATAATAGACTTTGTCACCAACTTCATACTTGTCATCTCCATGTCGAATCTGTTTTCGCAGAGCTCGTCTTATTCTTTCTGAACATTCTGCTTCTGTAAATGCTTTTCTTGATGCATGCAGAGCCGAGATGTGATTTGCCACCCATTCGCTTTTAGTTGTGCCTTCCAGTGCAGGTGGTTTGTCAGTCAGCACAGATGGCAGGTTGGGATTCTGTCCGAACACCAGCTGATATGGACTATAACCATGCACGCTCTGCATAGTGTTTTTAGCCATTATCGCCCAGTCCAATGCAGTATCCCAGCCACAGCTCATGTCTGTTTTCACTTTCATTATGATCTCTGTGAGCGTCTGATTATGTCTTTCAAGTCGCCCATTGCTCCATGGGCTGTATGCTGCTGTCGGCTTTACTTCTATGTTGAAGTTCTCTGGCGTGTCCCGGACCTCCATCCATCCATCTTCTGAACCCGCTTTGTCCACGCGCGGGGGTGGGGTGGGGTCTGGTGCCTATCTCCAGCGGTCAACGGGCAAGTAGGGTACCACATCCCCGGCTTAAGTTCATGTAGATCAATTGCCACGGTTTCATTGTACTGAGGTGCCAGTGGAAGACCAATAACTGGCTTTGGTCTGGCTCTGCCGTATCTCTGACATGTTTCACATTATTCTACCACCTTTAGCAGAATAGATCCACACTCTTTGTCTTTATTGCCTGAACTTATCAGCATTCTGTTAAGTTTTTCAGCAGATGCGTGCCCAAACTGCTTGTGAAGTTTAATCAGCATTTTTGGTCTTCTCTGCAGAAGTCATTGTTTCTGTGAGTGCCAGTATCTGTTCTTCACCCTTCTTTACATTATTCGTTATGACATTGTCATGATGACTACACGGCATATTGTCATCCATTATGTTCACACAGTAGTGACCGGAGCTGGTAAAGTCAAGCTTCACAGATTTGAACATTACTGCGCTGTCATTTTCCATGTTAAGCACTGTTCCTGCCTTTTTCATCGATTCTTTACTTAAAAGCAAAGGTATTTTTGTTGGGACAACTTCTGTTTGGATCTGACTCTTAGTCTGTCCAATATTTGCTGGTATCTTTACCCTTTTGATGGATTTTACTATTTTTTCCATCTCCAAACTTGAAGGGTCTACTGCTGTGTACTTCTGACATCTTTAGTTTTTTTACTTCAACTGGAGTTAGCTTGATAATATAGCTGTCAAGCCATTCTTGTCCACATACTGTTTTGGTGCACGCTGTGCCGAACCAAGGCACTCAGTCATAAATATTTCCGCATCTGAGGGTGCCTCTTGTATATAGAGCAATGTTGCACTCCTCCACCTTCTCTGACTCACCAGCATAGGTAAGTTTAGCTTGCTCACCTTTGTTTGGACAGTCTTTTGCCCAGTGAAATGTGCTCTGACAGACTGCACATCTTGATCTGCGTCCATACCTGTCCAGTGGATTAGTTCCAGCGAGTGACGCCTTTTGTTTATCGTGCTGATTCCAAGAGAAGCGCGGTTTGCTTTTCTGTTATGTGATGTAGGCAGTTTCTTGATTAATTCCCACAGCGTGAGCCGACTTCCCTCCGAAGATTCTTTTGTAACGCTGATTTCATTGAAGCAAACGTTAAATCTGTGCATGCAGTTAGGGCCAGCTGTCGATCTTTAGCATCCAAACAGGCGGTATCCAACAGCATGAGAGCATCCGGAAGCTCCATCTTGTATTTCTGCATCTGCAAGTATCTCTGTTCAAAGTCAATGATGTAGTCCTCCATGGACACGTTGCCGTCTCTCATGATTCGGTCAAAGTTAGTGTATGCTTCATAAACACGGTCCTTTTCTTCTTTAAGAAATAAATCATCAAGTTTTCGAAGTGACGTCTGCATTCCGTCATCTTCATTCAAATCATCCACCGATATTTCCATCGCGACTTCTCAAGCTCTTCCAGAAAGTGCCAAAGCCGCCGCGAGCGCTTGTTTATTTTTCTCCAAGTCCGTAACCCGAATCCAAATGGCGACTTCATTTTTCCCGCTTTCATAGGACTTCTTTTCATCGAAGGCTGGTGGGACTCTGTAGTTGTTAGCCATCCTCTGCTACCAATGTTACTCAATAAACTAGACTGATACTTGGTTAAGAACTTCTCCTTTATTCCGCCATGACACCATCCAACTCCCGCGCAAAAAAGGCCATTCCTCCGGAAGCAACCACACACTTTCAGAATAAAAGCATATATGCCAACAGGACATTTGTTTAACATAAAAGCATCATCAACAATTCTAACCCTTTTCTGCTCGTCTCTTCACAGAGGCCTGGAAGTCTTTAACTGATAAAGTGAAGGAGGCTCGCTCCAACGCACAACTGAAAGAGCTGTCTTTTGAAGGTAAAGGATCGCTCTGATAACAATAAAACATCAAAATAAGTCTTTAATTAGACTCTGTGCTTCCTGCAGTAACTGTGTTTTTTTTTTTGTTTTTTCTGTTGTTGATCCCAGGTGTGAATGGACTGAGGATGCTAGGAGTTGTCCATGAAGCTGTGCTCTTCCTGCTGGAGCAGCTGAATGGATCCAGGCACTGCCGAAGCTACCGTTTCCGCTTCCACCAACCAGAGGAAACGGACGAACCTCCCCTCAACCCCCACGGCTCGGCTCGGGCAGAAGTCCATCACAGGTTAGAGACGAAACAGAATTTTTCTTGGAGTCAGGCAAAAAAAACAAAAAACATCTATTTGGTCTCTCTTGTTTGACTGTGTGAAGATCACAACCAGACTGGAGTAAATTATTTACTGATTTATTTCGACTTCCACCACCACACTTTTCATCTGGTTTTATTGTTGGGAAGATTATAAAAACGATGTGCTGATGTGCGGTGCTCTGGGTTTTCTCTCCTCTAATGTCCAGGAGGTCCGTATTCGACATGTTTAATTTCTTGGCCTCAAAACACCGCCAGCCCCCTGAGTACAGGCCTCAGGAGGAAGATGAGGAGGAAGGGCAGCTAAGGACTGCCAGGTGAATCACTGAAATTTATCATCAGCTATTATATTCACTTTAAAACCAAGATGAAAGTTCTAGTGAACACTTTTTTTTAATTCGTGTTGCTTTTGCAGACGTGCTTCCATGGAGCTGCCACTCGTTGCGAGGTTCAAGCAGATCAAAGCCACCTCGAGGGAAACCGTGGGAGTCTACAGGTCAGATAAACAGTATTAAATGTGTTTATAGCTCATTAAGGCTGAGGAAAAGATGTATAGGACGTGTTGGCAGCTTAACAGCAGTAATGTGATTGCTTTAATGTCTGATTGGTCTGGACTTTTTTAGCTTTTTTTGCAATTTTAAAATGTGCTCATGGGCAAGCCTTTAATGCATGGAAGACAAAAACAGTATGACTGTTTTTTTCGCAGGTCACCCATTCACGGTCGTGGTTTGTTCTGCAAGAAAACCATTGAAGCTGGAGAAATGGTCATTGAATACTCTGGAAATGTCATTCGGTCTGTTCTCACCGACAAACGTGAGAAATACTACGATGGAAAGGTGAGATCTTAATTAAAAGCATTCCATTTCTTGAAAGGAATGCAAGTCGCCCGTTTTCTTTCATGTGAGACTTTTAAACTAAGAAATTATGGAATTATTGCAATTTTTAGGAAATCTTGAAAAAGTATTAATCACATAGTCTTGTGTTCGGCTCATCTTCAGAAAAACTGGGTGTTAGCTGTAAAACTGAGTTCTAGGCATGTTTGTGTTAGCCAAGGTGGATTAGCTGCTGTCATTGACTCTTAAAAGTTTAGTCAGATGAAGTCAGTAATACTGAATCTGTCTTCTCTGTCCTCGTAGGGGATTGGCTGTTACATGTTTCGCATTGATGACTACGAGGTGGTAGACGCCACAGTGCACGGCAACGCCGCCCGCTTCATCAACCACTCCTGTGAGCCCAACTGCTACTCTCGAGTCATCACCGTGGACGGCCAGAAGCACATCGTCATCTTTGCGTCTCGTCGCATTTTCTGTGGAGAGGAGCTGACGTACGACTACAAGTTCCCCATCGAAGACGCCAACAATAAGCTACCCTGCAACTGCAGAGCAAAGAAATGCCGCAGGTTCCTCAACTGACGCCCCTACCTAAACCACTTGGAGGACTCCAGAAGGGCATCGTCACGCCTCTCTCCCTGGGTTCGCCATGGCACCAGTTATCTGATTTGTGTTATGCCGATTGCTGCCGGTTTTGGTGATCTGGGTCAGGACTGTGCTTGCAGGATGGGCCATGAGTAAGAATTCAAACATACTGTGCCTCCTTTTGTCTGTTTTACATTCGGCATTGAAAGTTTCACCCCGTGTGGTGAGTTACGAATTGCAATATTACCTTTTATTTGTATCTGAACGATAGTTAACCCTCCATACATATTATTTTTACATTGGTCCTTCCTCTTTGGATTTTATTTGACCTTTTTCAAAAATATCTCATGGTCCACTAATGTGAACTTAGAAGGGAAAAAAAAAATCAAAGAACTTGGTTTCATTTTACACCAAAGTGCAATTTGTTGAAGGGATCTGCAACAGTGATAAACCCTATCATTTTTTTTTAATTTAATTTAAAAAAATTTGTTTTTTATCTCAGTGTCAGCTGTTATTGATGCACATCTCCCTGTCTCAATGTGCCCTGATGCCTTCAGAGCTAGAACCTTCCTCTAAACTTTGTGTACATTTGACACTGTAAATACGAGCTGCTCATGTTTAGCAGGAGCTGTACTGGTGGGAACACTAGGGGGAGCCGTGGCAACAAGGATAAGAAGAAAAAAATGTACAGAAAATGACAAATTCTGTTACAAAGACAAGTTTATTTTTGACCATTGTTGTAAAGGATTGTTTGATACCATCTGTAAACTGAGTAGCTACGATGAGATGGAGCCTCTGGCCTGATAATTGTGAGGCAGCTAGAGATTCTGGTGGACTGACAGACTGGGACCAGAAAACCTACTGATGTGCTTGAGTAGACGTACGTAAATTTGTTTTTGTTATTTTTTGGCGCTGTGTTGCAGACGCAAGCGTGCCGTTGTCGGTGCAAGCTTGGAATCACGTTCCAAATCACAGCAGCGAGACAACCAAACATCACGGAATTCTGACATATCCTGTTTTCCTCTCCTGTTGTGATAACCGTTATTTTGGAGAATTTTTTTTTATTTTGTTATTTTTTATTATTACGGACAGGGAAATATCATGATTTATTTTGAAAATAATAATGTAAATAATGAATATTTTTCTACGAGAAAAAAAAGCACTCTCTAGCGAATAGCACTTAATGATGGTATTTATATTTTTAAAAATTCGTATTTATTTTATTGCCATTTTTGTAGGAAAATAGAGGTTTACAAACACTAATTCTTGGTTTCTATGTTTTGTATTCCACTGCCTTTTCAACGTATTTCTGTTGTATTTTCTTTTCTCTTTTTATTTGGAGCTTGAATGTTTTTATTTGAATCCAAAGACTGACACTGGTCTATGGCTTGGTTCTCCTTAAGTTCAGTCCACCAGTAGCTCTTTATCTACCATAGGCCATTTGGCCATAGCTGATATAAATATATTTTTTGTTTTGTTTTTTAAAATCGTTCCAGTTCTGGTTACTGGTTTGTCGTGTGAACTGTTATTATGCACTTGAGAGAGTTTAGATTGCTACTCCATTGCCGATATCTCCTCTCTCCAGCCTTATTGTCTCCATAGCAACATCGATCAGAGAGTCGTGTCTGCTCACAGGCTGCTGCTAACTGGGAGTCATATCAAAAGTCACTTAATAATCAGCTGATCGAATAAAACTATCAAAGTTTGTAAAATCCAGCAGTAGAGAATGAAGTCCCTCTGCAGACTCGGCCCATATGAAAGAGGTGCCTTTGTTTTAACCCTTTTAACAGAACTCACCAAGCATATCTCCACTGAGCCGATGTTCCCATGACCGCTCAATAACCACCAGCCCTCGGGGACGGTGTTTTCTTTTCCAGTCTTGTTGGTTTTTGCCTTAGTTGTAAATCAGCACTGAATATGAAAGCAGGATGTTTACACTGATCACATCTTTTCACTCATTTATTGTCGTCTGCCTTTCGCGCCAACCTCATTACGACCTCGCATCCATCAGCAGTTACTATCGCACTGCCCTTTGTTTTTGTTGTGAACTGAGTCTAGATTTTGACCTGAGACAAACAAAATTTGCACTTGAGCTGTGAAACAGGCACTGAACAGTTACAGGAAACCTCAGCTCTCACCCCAGACAGACCATGCAACTCCAGTGCTGAAACCACAAGCACAAATACGTCACTTGGGATCCTCTAGAGTTCGCGTCTCCGACGACTCCAGACGATGGTTATTTGAGGCTCTAGCGAAGTGCACTTGACTCTTTCTGCTCAGTAATTGAAGGCAGGGGACCACAACGGCGGGCCCTTTCTACTTCCTGAGAGGGCCGCAGCTCGCTGGGTTCTGCTGCTACGGTCAACGATGAATGTATACTCTTCCTCCACATCAACAGACCTGTGACCATGTTGATGCGTGTTAGTTTGTGGTAGACATGACCTCAGATTTATTTCAGGACTGGTTTTAAAGCATGAACAGCAGTGGGATTTGGCTTGCTCTTACTGGTTTAGCTCAAACGGTTCACGTTAGCAGTGGTAATCAGGTGGTTACTGATGCTAAGGGCTCTGTCTATGACTCACTTCATATCCTCCACTTCTACGTTGGTTACAGTTTAAGCAGCAGATACACAATAAGGAAAAAGCGTCTGGTGTTTTTGTTGAATTCTGGACATTTTACCACGCCACATCAGTGGCCCTTCTTCATTCTCTGTAATTATAGTATAAATACTTATAATGGAAAAACACACATAGTAATTTCTTGTTCTTGTATCTATACAATATATGGAATGGACAGACAAACTTAGTTACAGTAGCAAAAACAGCGGATTTATAATGGTTAATAGCAATGTTTCAATGTACTCTATAACGGTTTTGTGTTACAGTACTATCAGATAAAACTAACGTGCATCATTCTTTTTGTAATCTTGATATCCAGTACCAGTTTTGCTGTGCCTGTAAGGGTTCCTTCATCAGCAAAGGAGCACTGCAGTTTTCTTTTTCTCTTCTTTCCTTTCTGGAGCAGAACGGTTTTTATGTGATGAGAAGTGTAACTGTATTAATGTGGTTGTGAACTATTTGAGGGTAGCCATTTTGGAATGATTTTTTATTTTATTTTTTCAGTTATGTTTCTTTCACTACGTTTTAACAGGGATGGCTTATTTGATGTGGGGAAAGTTGGGTTTGTGGAGACAGACCAGACGTTTAGACACCAAAATGGCTTAATTTTTTCTTTTGATGTTTTGATTTGAAAAGCTCTTCTGTCTCCCTGACCACGGCGGTCTCCTCTGAAGCTTTGGTTGTACTTATCTTGTACTGTTTTATAGAAAGTCATCATGCTGATGTTGGAAATTTTTTAATTTATTTATTTGGCACAGCATTCACCCTGAGTTGTTCTTTTTACAAGTCAGGGTTTTGGAGAGATTGTATGAGTACTTAACTTGTATTTGTAATTTTTGAAGCGTTTGTTGTGTATAAACAGTCTAAGATGGGATGTAGTGTCAGAACGAGGGGGGGGGGGGGGGGTGCAGTATGAGGGATCATGAACAGGCCAGTTGTTTCTTTTGCCTTGAATATACCTTTGTCTTGCATCGATATCCTCCTGCTCTCTGTAACAAAGGTATTCACAACAGTCAAGTTTTATCCTCCCGTTCAACAGTGTTTATTTCAGTAAAGGAAAATGAAGGAAAACCACCACCGTGAAAATAAACCACAAACTACTTGGTTGAATGTATAATTAGGACACAAAGTTGTACATAAGTGTAAAAAGTAAAGTTTGTAATCATGTTTATTTTCTATGCACTTTTTTTATTTAAGTGATAGTTTAAATAATAAACATGTCTCCTTTACTCAGTTTCGTCTTTATTTACTAAAAGTTGAACAGCGACTCCCAGACGTCTGTGTTCACACACAACTCTCTGCATGGACACAAAAACTCAAACAGTAGAGTTTACATATTTAATACGAACATAATGCATTTTATTTCTTATGTGACAGTATAATGTACATATTTTTTAAATAAAGTGCCTCACATAGAAAAGCATATTTTATTTAAAAAATATACAGCAGGGAATTTTCTTAATGTCATCAAGTTCTGGTCCAGTTAAAATGTTTTTTATTTATTACAATAATAATTACCAGCTCCAATAAAAACTGACTAATAAAAAGAACATTTGGAGGTTTAAATGGTTATAAAAGGAAAGACAATAACTGTAATTTATAATCCTTTTTTTAAATATAAAATTTTGTCAAGATTGTTTTCTAAATTGTCTTGTTTACTGATTTCTTGTACTTAAAGGACTTTAAAATGATGTGTCTCCAAGCACTCTTCATGCCATAACTCCACCGCTACATATTGAAAGTAAGTGAGTTCTAAGTTGTTAAATTGCCACATGGAGCAAATTACCATTTAGTGCTCTGAGCCGTGGTTTATGCCGGACTTTTCCAGGAAATGAGTGCAGCAGACCCAAAATGTGCTGAATCTGGTGCTGCTAATTAAACACAGTTTCGGGTTGGTACCTCCACAGGAGTCAGCTGACTCCTCGCTATAAAAGCCTGATGACTGAAATTTAAAACTCTACGATCCAATAAAACCTGCTCTTTACAGTCAAAGTGCTAAACTGCAGATGTGTTCATTCAGATTGGGCTCACCCTCACATAAAGAGACTTTCCTTTAGAACCTGAAAGGAGTGTGAATTATAGACTGTCAGAATAATCAGATGTATTTAGTGGACTTTAGTAACTTAACTACTGATCAATATTTCATGTAGTTGGATCAGATTAGGATTATAAATCAATTAAGTATTGTAAAAAACATCCATCCATCCATCCATCCATCCATCCATCCATTCACCCAGCATCCATCCATCCATCCATCCATTCACCCAGCATCCATCCATCCATCCATCCATCCATCCATCCATCCATCCATCCATCCATTATAAACAAAACAACAGCATTCTTCTTTTGAGGCAGTGATCTTCATTCCAGCCCAAAGAGAGCATTCCACATTTTTCCAGTTGGGAGATAACTCTCATCCTGGTCACGTCACACTTGACCCGTCCCTACTACATTCTGTATAAACTGACTTTAAATGAACCTGAACTGATTTATTTCTTAAAAATGTTCTTCTGATGTTTTTCTTTTCATCCCAGGACACCAAAATCATTTTTCTACAGCTTCCTGTTTTACTGCAGACTTGGTTCCTTCTCAGGGGTCTGGTCTCCAAGATAACAACAAAATCACATTTTCATTGGCCTGGACATGACTTAAAAGTTTAGCTCCATTGACAAAGCTCCACTCCCCTTTTTTCTAAATTGACATATTTCTTTGCTAATGTTTACATGTACTGCAACACTTCTTCATAAACACTTCTGCAGGATTATAGAGGATTATGGTCAGTCTTGTTTGAGCAGAAGACAGATTTTAGTTTGAAAGATGCTATCAGGAGCAAGAAAATAGCTTCTTTAGATAATAAAAATCAACATGAAACTCAGTGGACAGCACATTCCCAGCTGCAGCGGTGCATCGTGGGAACATTTAACTTTAACCACAGCCCCGAGGGCACATGTTGGGGAGTTTCTTCATGTTTTTTATGCAGCATCTGAAAAATGTCTGTTTATCACCCTCCCCTTTAAATCCCTCCCTTCACACTGATTTTACTGTCTTACTTTTTGTTTTGGTTATATTTCTCTTCTGTGTGAGCTGGATGGACATCACATATTTTCCTCCTTCTCCTCCACCCATGGCTCCTCCTCTCCCACCGACTCCAGCTTTCTAATTGGATTTCATCACATTTCCTTTTGGTTTTTCCCAGCCAGACTCTCGGGATCAGAGGAGCAGCTTTTCAGTGGATTCAGACATAAACTTCAGCAGCAGCTTCCATACATCCTGGTAAGGGTTCGACTGTCTTTGAACTGAACTTTATGCCTTTCCAGGAGCTGAGATAATGAAAAATACGCACAGAAGTCTTATTCTCAGGTAATCCAGTGAAACGTAGAGCTGCAAAAGTAAGTTGTGTGTTTATGAAGAAGTGTTGCAGCACATGAAAACATTAGCAAAGAACAATGTTAATAAAAAAAAAAGAAATGGATGTGGTTTTAGAGATCATGCAAAAATGTTTGTTTTAACTCAAACATGGTGTAGGGTTAACATACATATTTATTTTGGGTGCTTTTTAAGCTAAATATGCTACACTACATTTGACCAATAAGATGTGAATTTCTATATAAATATGAAAATCCAGTCTGATTGGTCTTTGAATGTTTAACCAGAAGATTTAGAATTATTTGTTTATTCAGGGATTGTAAGACACTTCGTATTAATTCAGACAGAGTCAAGTTTATAAAAAGTAAGAAATTTATTTTCTAAACAATTGAAAACATGACAACTAGGAAACACTTTATATGATGAATGAATCTAAGTGGATGGATTGTGAGGTGTGAGGATGTGTGAATGTGACGTTATCAGAACCTTCTTATCTGGAGAAACTGAGTTCTGAGTGGGAGTGAATTTGGTCTGCTATAAACTATAATGACGCAATCTGTCGAGTCTATGTACCCTTCGTTGGAGACTCTCTTTTGGAACCGAGATGTCGGAGAGTCCGTGGACCCCACGGTACTGAAGTCTGTAGAGAAACCGCAGTACGACCAGGTCAGTCCAGAGTCGTCTCCAGGTCACGACAAACAGGTGGACTTGTTTTGCGTCTATGGAGTATGGAGTTGAAGCTGGTTCAGCTTTATTCTGATGGAACCGTATGCAGTCAGCGGTAGCGTGCAACAGGTTTTGACAGCTTGTCAAAAGATGCGCTGGGTTAAAAAGGTTTTGCTTCAGATGGCCGGTCCGAAGCTTTCTCAAAAACTGACTCACTCAGGAAGTGAGTTCTGTTTTAACATATTTTGAATACATGGCCAACCAGAATTTGACATGTAAAGGGGTTTTACCAAACAAACCTCAGAACATCAGATAGAAGAGCTCTGATTTGTGGATCAGGAATTCTCTATGAGCAGTGACGTTTAACTTTAACTTGCGTCATGGAGATATGGTAAGTGTGTGTGAGCTTGTCAGTAGATAGTGATTCACTTGTTAAATCAACTTACTGATCAAAACATAATATTCATTTCAACTTCAGTAATTTAAGCACAGATTAATCACAACATTGTTATTATTCTTCAGCCATTATTATTCATTCATTAAATGATTATTTTAACACTCCATTATTCATAACGGTTCGTTATTATAAAAGTTCCTTCTTCTTGTTCTGTGAAGCAAAGCAGTCTGAGATAAGTGGAAAGCTTGAGAGGGACCTTGTCATGAGCCGGGGGTGAGTACTCGTCTCTCTACATGAGATCTCTGAGTTGTGTCTTGCAGGAGAGGGAGCGGCAGCTGCACCTGATCAGCTAATCAGCGGGTTGGCTTCTTGAGGAGGAGGGTGACACTACTCGATGCTGGATGATTGCTACTGACAGTTTCTTGCCCTCGTATTTGGCTCTTGGTTTTTGTGAACACTCACCACGCTCAATAGGACTCTGCTCTGCTCACACGCCAAGTCATCCAGTCACCGCTGACCGACCTGCTCTCCAACAACTACCCGCTCCCTCTCCAGCTCTGGAACCGCTCACTCATTATCTGTTGGACTTAAAGTTCTCAGGACTCACCTCTAATCTGCTCTCCCCACCAGACGCTGCGTTTCCCGTTTTTCCTGTCCACTGGAATTCCCAGTGTGCGCTCAGTTACCGTTATCCACAAATAAAAATATTATTTTTTCATTATACCTTCTCCTGGGTTGAATCTGCATGTCTTGGGTTAGACACCTTCCTCAGAACATGTCAGAATCATCCGGCCATACCGCTAATCCTGCAGAAGCAGCCCTCACCGATCTCACCCACAGGTTAACACAGCAGGAACAGACACTACCGCTACTTATGGAACAACTCGCCGCAGCGTATCAACCCTACCAACAATTGGAGGCTCTGGTAAGACAAGTCCACGACGGTTTGTCTCAGCATCAACAGCCACCTCCGCCAGCTGAACCATAATTTGCCGCTCCAGCAGCTGCGGTTTTCCCCGGACCGGAAGCTGCATGTCCTCCGGAAGTCACCCACTTCCGTCTTGCAGCATCCCCACCATCAGTGACTTTTAGCGGTGAGTTTGAGGAATGCCACAGTTTTCTACTCCAGTGTAGACTGGCCTTTGAACGTTCTCCTGTGGCCTTTGCCTCGGACTCTGTGAAGATTTGCTATGTAGTGGGGCTGCTACGAGGAAAGGCTCTAAGGTGGGCCGAGGCTAAGAGCCACTGTGAATCCTTTTTGAATGTTTCATACAATGATTTTTTATCTGATTTTAAACTGACTTTTGGAAGTTTTGAGTCCAGCTCGGATATTAGAAAGAAGCTCTGGAATCTTTCTCAAGGCAGAAGGACAGTGGCAGACATAGCATTGGATTTTCGTATCCTGGCAGCTCGGACGTCCTGGAACGAGGAAGCTCTTATTGCCGCCTTCACCGAGGCTCTTAATGATTGGGTCCGGAACCAGCTGGCCCTATCCCCCGAGCCCGGTTCGTTGGAGGCCCTCATCAGACTGGCTACCTCCATCGACAAGCGACGCCACGAGCTGAGGCGACAAGACCCCGGGCCCAGTTCACCTCCCACTCAGGATCGGGGCCAAGGAACTAGTGGTCACTCCTCAACAGAATCCTCACCAGCTGAGGAACCGATGCAGATGGGGAGGACTCGTCTCACACAGGAGGAGAGACAACATCGTATGAGGTTTGGTTTATGCATGTACTGTGGTAAAGATGGACATTTTGCCCGAGACTGCTCGTTACTGTTAAAAGGCAGAGCCTACCGGTAAAACCAGGATTACTGGCGGGCAGCAACTCAGACTCTACTAGTTCTCGTGTTCTCTCCTGTGCTCTGTGTTTTTTAATTCCGAACAGATCCATCTCGAATCCCTACTGGACTTGGGTTGCGAACAATCCATGTTGGACTCCAAGCTGATTGAAAAATGGAGGATCCCAACCACCCCGTTGACCGCGCCTCTCTCAGTCTCCTCTCTGGATTGTCGGAACCTCTCCACCATCACCCATCAGACTATTCCTCTCCGTCTAAAGGTGTCAGGTAACCACACCGAGACCTTGACCTTTTATGTGTTCCCTTCTCCTCAGTCGCCGTTGGTGCTTGGGCATTCCTGGTTAGTACGCCACAATCCTCAACTTGACTGGAGGAGGAACAGAATTGTGGGATGGAGTCCCGAGTGCTCTCAACGTTGCCTCTGCTCTGCCTCCTCGCCTATCTGCGGCTCTACGACCCCACCAGTGGAGGACATTGATCTCTCAGCGGTTCCCCCTGAATACCATGACCTCAAACAGGTTTTCAGTAAGGACCGTGCCTCTTCCTTATCTCCTCACAGACCATTCGACTGTGGAGTTGATTTATTTCCAGGAGCTCCTCTTCCATCTAGCCGTCTGTATCATCTCTCCAAGCCTGAGAGTGAGAGCATGGAGAAGTACATCCAAGACTCCCTGGCCGCCCGAACCATCAGACCGTCCTCTTCTCCTTTGGGCACCGGGTTTTTCTTTGTACCCAAGAAGGAGGGGTCACTCAGGCCATGCATAGACTACCAGGGTTTGAATCAAATCACTGTTATAAACAAATACCTCTGCCGTTACACTCCTCCACCTTTGAACCTGTTGAGGACGCTTCTATCTTCAGTCGACTGGACCTCAGGAACGCCTATCATCTGGTGAGGATAAGGGAGGGAGATGAGTGGAAGACAGCATTCAAAACCCCTCTTGGACACTGAGTATTTAGTGATGCCCTTTGGGTTAACCAATGCACCAGCAGTTTTTCAGTCGTTGGTAAATTCTGTGTTGGGTGATTACCTAAATAAGTTTGTGGCTGTGTATCTAGACGATATTCTGATTTTCTCCAAAACACAGGAACAGCATACCCAGCATGTTTGAGCGGTTTTGCAACGTCTGTTGGAGAATCGGCTATATGTTAAAGCTGAGAAGTGTGTTTTTCATGCTCCCACTGTCAAGTTCCTGGGGTTCATCATCAAGAGCGGGCGGTTGAAGCCAGATACTGACAAGGTACAAGCTGTTACTGAATGGCCCACTCCGTCCACACGTGAGCAGTAGCAGAGGTTCCTGGGGTTTGCTAATTTTTACAGAAGATTCATCAAGAACTACAAACGGCCACTCCGTTAACCAACCTGACTTCGATTAACAAACCAGAAGCCAGAAGCCGTCTCCAGAAGCTGACGCAGCTTTCCGAGCAGTTATGACGAGATTCACCAATGCCCCTGTGCTCCATCGACCAGATCCGCTACACCAATTTACCCTCGAGGTAGACTCCATGGGAGCAGTGCTGTCCCAGGTCTCCCCAGAGGATCATCGCCTTCATCTTTATGCCTTCTTCTCACGTCGTTTGACCCCCGCAGAGAGCAGATATGATGTTGGAGACCGCGAACTGTTGGCGGTGAAACTCGCCATAGAAGAGTGGAGACATTGGCTGGAGGGCGCTGAGAAGCCGTCCATTATTTGGACCGATCATAAAAACCTGGTCTGTTTAAAGGAAGCAAAAAGACTCTATCCATGACAGTATAGGTGGTCCCTTTTCTTTTCGTGTTTCAACTTTCAAATCTCCCACTGACCAGGTTCCAAAAACCCTAAGCCCGGCGCTCTTTCCAGACTATACTCACCAGATCAGGAAGAGGAACCCTCCACTATCTTACCTCCGGCATGAGTCGTGGGCAGGGTTACCTGGGAAGTCAGGGACCAGGCTCTGGAGGCCCTCAAGACGGACCCCGGTCCAGGTAACGTCCCTCCAGGCAGGCTGTATGTGCCCCAGTCCATGAGGAGTAAGGTCAAACACTGGGCTTATACAGGCAAGTTCACGCTGCATCCTGGCGTGGGTCGCACTGTTGCCCTAATCAGAAGGTTTTTCTGGTGGCCGTCTACATACAAGGATGTTACAAGCTACATTTCAGGTTGCCATACCTGCTCCCAGCAAAAGGTTGATCACCGTCAACCAGCAGGTCTGTTAAACCCTTTACCTATTCCCTTTCGCCCTTGGTCTCATATTGCTTTGAACTTTGTGTGTGGTTTCCCAAACTCTCACGGCTTTAATACAATACTCACCATCGTTGATCGGTTTTCTAAGGCATGTCATCTGGTTTCGTTAAAGTTGCTTCCTTCCTCAGCTGTCACCGCACAACTACTGGTCAAACACGTTTTCCGCCTTCATGGCATCCAAGAGGAGTTACTGTCTGATCGTGGTCCGCAAATTGTCTCCAGAGTATGGAAGGAGTTTGCGGAGACCTTAGGGGCTCAGGTGGCTCTCACCTCAGGACATCACCCCCCAGACAAACGGACAATGTGAACAGATGAACCAGGAGCTTGGAGCCATGTTATGCTGTGTCTGTGCCTCTCATCCTTCCTCCTGGAGTACCCATCTAGCCTGAGTGGAATACGCGCACAACAGCCACGTCTCATCAGCCACAGGTCAGTCCCCTTTTGAATCATCGCTTGGTTATCAACCCTCTCTGTTCCCCCTTCAGTCTCCAGCCCTGTCTTCCATTCCACAATTCCTCCGCGGTGCAAGACTTGCTTGGTCCACCACCAGAGTGGCGTTTGATCGCACTGCGCAGAAGAACAAGCAGTTGACGGATCGTCAGCAGCGACCGGCCCTGGTTTATTCACCTGGTCAGAGCGTATGGTTGTCCTCTAAGGACATCCCGCTGAAGGCGACCAGCCGCAAGTTGTCCCCACGTTTCATCGGTCCCTTCAAGATCCTGGAGGTTCCTACTCCATCCACTGTGAGGCTGGACCTTCCTCGTTCCCTTCGGGTCCACCCCGTTTTTCACGTGTCTCTGGTCAAGCCATTGGTCTCCAGACCACTTTGTCTGTCTCCTGTGCCTCCTCCTCCGGCTCGCCTCTACAGGGGTGGGCTGGTCTACTCCGTGAACAAGATCCTGGCTTCCCGTCCCCGTGGGGTCCAGTACCTCGTGGACTGGGAGGGGTACGATCCCGAAGAGAGGTCCTGGGTACCTCGATCCTTCATCGAGGACCCGTCCCTGATCCGGGAGTTCGAGGCCACTTCGGCTAGGACGCCGGGTGGCGTTCGTTGGGGGGGGGGGGGGGGGGGGGGGGGGGGGGTACTGTTATGAGCCGGGGGTGAGTACTTGTCTCTTTACATGAGATCTCTGAGTTGTGTCTTGCAGGAGAGGGAGCGGCAGCTGCACCTTATCAGCTAATCAGTGGGTTGGCTTCTTAAGGAGGAGGGTGACACTACTCGATGCTGGATGATTGCTACTGACTGGTAGTTTCCAGCCCTCGTACTTGGCTCTTGGTTTTTGTGAACATTATTACGTGTACCTTTTTCCTGGGACTTTTGTGATTTTACGTCTCCTGGATCTCCGACCTCGGGTTCTCCTCGTCTCTGGATTATTCCCTCACCACGCTCAATAGGACTTTGCTCTGCTCACACGCCACGTCATCCATTCACCGCTGACCGACCTGCTCTCCAACGACTACCCACTCCCTCTCCAGCTCTGGAACCGCTCACCTGGATACCCCCGGCTCGTTACCCATCCCCTCACTCGCTGAACTCATTTTTCCCCAGTAAGTCCCCTCACTCATTATCTGTTGGACTTAAAGTTCTTAGGACTCACCTCTAATCTGCTCTTCCCTCCAGACGCTGCGTTTCCCGTTTTTCCTGTCCACTGGAACTCCCAGTGCGCCCTCAGTTACCGTTATCCACAAATAAAAATATTATTTTTTCATTTTACCTTCTCCTGGGTTGATTCTACATGTCTTGGTTTAGACACCTTCCTCAGAACATGTCAGACCTTGGCCAAGCAACAGTATCTTTCTTGTAGATTAAAAGCACCAGTTAAGACTTATGTCTCCAAATGGCCAGATACTGAAGCGGTCAAAATGTAGGGGGAAAACAGACTTTTCTGGAGGCTACAAATGGTAATTATGAGACACTGGGCCCCAGTTACATGCTTGTAAAAATGTGTAACCCTCTACTGCAAAATACTAGACACTCAGACTAAAAAAAGACCCAAAGTAGCTCCAAATGACATGGTTAAATTTTTTTTAGAGTTGATTGAAGTCTATTTGTTGACTTTAAGATTTTTTAAACCATGAATGGGGAATCTTTTTGCACATTTTCTTTATTGTGGTTTGACTGATTGTCAAGTTGTTTACACAGAAAACAAACTGTGGTCCCCAGACAAGATATTCTCTGTCCAAATGCCCCTGGGTTTCTTTGGGAATACGCTGTTGCCACATCAGTCACTGTGTTGAAGTTGAATCCAAATTACTTTTAACTCAACTAGACTGAAATATTTCAAAAATTGGGTAAATAGATTAAGAACTCAAACACCAGTCATTTGTGCTTCCTAAACACTGGATTCCTTTTGTGTGACTCGTTAAAACCCTTCATGTCTAACCATCTTTGGACTACTAATAGTGGCAGACCACTGTTCAGACTCAGATTTTTCATCTTATTCAAACTCCACTTAAGCCAGGAATCCTGATGGGATTATTTGTCCCATCCTCATTTTCCCTCAGTTTCTTATCCTCCCTCTCTGTTTCTGTCTGCAGCTGTTGTGTTTGTAGGCTGTAATCTTCCGTTAGAAAAGCTGCTGACGGACAACAAAAAGCTCAGATCTACGGCCTTTCTCCTGCTTCGGTCATCACTTCAGTTTATGACTCTTGTCCAGTAGATGGTACCAACAAGGCAACATTGAATCAAAGTTGTTTTCTGTCTCTACTGGATTGTTCTGGAATTACAGCCCCACCATGGAAAGTAAACACACAATGAAGAGCTGAAATAAAGTTTTCCTTAGACTTGATTTTCTTTGGGAGATAAAAATGAAGAAGAAAATGAACAATCAGACTTTTCTCTGGTGGCTCATTTGGTGTCAGCTGAAATGCATGACTGGGATTAAATAGAGTTTTGGGAGGAAACAACTGAAAGAGTCAGAATGGGCTTAAGTTTGAGGGATTTGTGAGTGGTCTGATGTTCAGCATTCTTATTTCTTCTCATGAGGAGCTTTCCTTGGGTCCTATGAAATATTTCTGAAGGATTTTGGTTAACACTTTAATCTGGCATTAGAATTATTTGAATAGATATTGTGAACTCTTCTCGTGGTTCACTTTTTCTGTGTAGATTAAGTTCACACAGAC